GTCCGTGGGGATTTGGGGTCACCACACGGTTTTGGGACTCGAGTCCCTCTCCGAGCCGAGGATGTCTTGGGCGACAGGGGCCTCCAGGGTCCCAATACCGTGCGGCGACGGACCGTGCGGCGAGGTCTTGGGGGATTTCGAGGTCACCGCACGGTCTTTCACCGCACCGTTTCGGGATTCCAAAGTCGTGCCCTCTTTTCTGTACACCCATGTAGAGGGGCTGGGCAGTGGGAGCAGCAGAGGCAGAGGCAGAAGCTGGCGATCAGGGGCAATTTTTGGAGGGGGGCTCATGGGGGGTGGATCGACCCACGCTCGCCCATTGATCGCCGATGTTAGCCTGATAGCCCCACCCCGCAGGGAACGTGTGGAGTCGCCATCGGGGGCCTATCGCCGATCTATGGGCGATGCATCGCCGATTACAGGTAGATGTTCCCCACCCTTAGCCGCATCCCCTCTAACGTTGCGTATCAGGTGAGGCGGTGAATCTGAGACACGGGCATCTTGTTGTTGTCTACAAGCTCACAGAGGATGGTGCGGAGAAGGACGAGGAGGGCCCACCCGTTCCGACCGCCTGATTTGTGCAGTTCTCTTTGCCCGCCTTGAGCAAGATCGCTGCGCGTACGTCCTGAGGCTCTGATGGGAGTGGCAGAAGAAGGCGACGGCATACATCAATCTTTTCAGGCACGGCACGAGACGAGGCCTTTAAAAGAAGTGCCGAATCATAGATCGGCTCACTATCGGCGAGGCTGGTGCCATCCCACTCGTCGCCCAGTGAAAACCATCATGTGATCGCGGTAACTCACGAGTTAGATTGTTCAGATTACCACTGCGCGCACAGCAAGCATGCTCGCACATGTGATAATCGCATTGGGTATTGGATTGGAGTTGAGCGTCCGTGCCTGGGTTTGCCTCCGGGGAACTTCGATGAGGCCTCTGGGTGGCCTTTGGGGAGCTTCTGGTGGATTTGTTGGGAGTCCCTGGTGGCCTCTAAAGGGCCTGTTGGCGGTCTCGAAGGCTATCCTGTGGTGGAGGGCTCTAGATATCAAATCGAGTCACCCATCTTGGGCCTCTCTTCGGCCTCTCTTCGGCCCCTCTTGGGGCCCTCGTGGGCTCTCTTGGGACAGGTTGGGTGCCCCTTAGGTGGTATTGCGCTCTCTCTCTCTCTCTCTCTCTCTCTCAAGACCAAAAAGCAGAGCATGTTCCAATCATGCACAATCCTATGGTTGTTTACGCCTGCAGTCAGCGACATGCGATGGGCAGCACACGCTCCTCTCTACTGAGTGGCGCCGCAACCTACCGCCTACGGCACCAGTGGGAGGGTCCCGATACCCTCCTCATCCGCTGGGCAACCTCATCACCTACGGCACTGGTGGGAGGAGCGTCATTGCAGTATCCCGTGCGGTTTGAGCAGGCGATATGCCGCAGCGCACCCGCGTGAGCCAGAACAGCGGGCCAAAACACCCTCCATACAGCCTCACATGGTCCTCAGGCGAGCGCCCTCCTCCTGTTCCGCCACGAGCCTCGGATGGAGAGTTTCGACTCCGAGCCCGACCATCTCGCCGTCTGCACCCCACAGCGCCACAGCAGCTGCGGTCCAGGTGGCGGCGCCAGCAGACGAACCGAGGCTGCAGGCCAGCAGGCGGCAGGGCCAGGGCGTGGACGGCACCGCGGGCCCACGCTTCGCGCGCGCGCGACATCGCGACGCCCACGTTTGCCGTCGACCCTCACCACCCACCAAACCACCCCAACCCAGCCGGAGGGCCTCAACTTGCCCTCCATTTCCAGGGAGGGGGGGGGTCGGGGAACATTCCAGGGGCCCACGGACACACACACACACACACAAATACAAATAAAGTGAGTCCCCATATTTTTTTATGTTTTCTAGGTTTTTGTCTTCCCGCCCAACTCCCATATTTTCCCATATTGCGAAGGCCTTACGGCCGGTGCCGCCGACCCTGAAAGGCGACGACGACGACGACGACGACGACGAGCGCTCTTGGGGGCCTCTTGGGGGTAGTTTGTGGGCCTCTTGGGAAGCTCTCAGGGACCGCTTGGAAGCCTCGTGGGGGCCTCTTGGGGCTTCCTGGGGGTCTCTTGGAGGGGGCCTGGGACGTCTTGGAGGCTTCTTCGACGGTCTTGGGGCTATCGTGGGCGTTTTCGGCCGATCTGTGGGCGACTCGGGGCCCTCCTGGGCCGTCTCGGGGGCCATTCTGGGCATTCGGACCTCATTTGGAGTGTTTTCGAGGCGTCGAGGCCGCCCGAGGGAAAACGAATCTGCCCCCCCACCCCTCCCCCATCCCCCCCCCGGGACCCCCCCCCCCGGGACCCCCCCCGGGACCCTCCCCCCCGGGGAAGGGATCGAAGGGAAGGGGCTTCCCTTCGACTCGATTACGACACTGCTAGATTTTTCTCTCGCTCACGAGCTTGAGAAGGAAGCTGCAGGGAAATGGGGCGACGGAGGCGACGACCGACGGAGACGACGACTCGAACAGCCAAGCCCCTCGCACACGCCGACAGGGTCGGCGGATTTTCCTGGGAGTCGACGATTAATTGTGTCTGTGTGTTTTTTTCCTCCTGAAACATGTTGAAAAAAACACATGGGACCCGTACCCCCCCAACCCAAAATGTCGGTCAAATCCGGGTCTTCGGTGTGGGTTGGGGTGGTCTGGTAGGCAGTCAGACCCCGCGCGGCTCCGCGACGGCCGCGGGCGCCAGCAGGCCGGCAGCGGCAGCCGGCGAGCACGGCGTGAGCCCCCCGCAGAGCGCAGAGCCGCCCCCCGGCAGGGCGAGCGGGTGGCTTGTTCCCCGCTGGGGCGTCGGCACGGCCCAGGCCTCCCAGACGCAAGCAGTGGCGAAGCGTCCTGGCGTGCCTATAGGACTGCCAGGCAATGTTCTAGGAACCTTTTAGGTGGTCAGAGAATATTCTTAGAAACTTTCTGGCCAAGACTGTCTTGTTTCATCACATCGGGGATATGTTCTAAGAGCATTGCTTTGTTCTTTGAACATTTCTGGGTTCTAAGAACATGTCGTGGTAGGCCTATAGAAATGCCTGGACGGTCGGTCCCTGCTCAACAGACGGGGTCCGTGTCCGAGTGGGCCAGGTCGGAGGATCGCGCCGCATCGCCGATGCATCGGCTCTGCGGCTCCATGTGGAGCACGGTTTTAGTCGTGCTCTGCGGCTCCATGGTCGCCGATTCTCGGCTCCCCGTGCAGCGTCGATGCGGATGAACTCATGACGCCGCAGAGCCGATGCATCGGCGACGCGGCGCGATCCTCCGACCTCTCCTCGGCTCGGACCCCACCTGGGAGGCCTCCACCGGTGGGGGGCTCCGTTCGTCGGATGACGGGCCGCTCCCGAGGTCACCGGCGGCAAACCTGTCCACATCCCCACGCCCTCGCGGTCTGGACTTCGGGGCGCGATCCCGCGGACACGCGGTCGCACGGCTGCGGGGATACACGGCGATTGGCAGCCACCAGCGCGCGGGGGACCGCGGACGGGATCGCAGCCCTCGTCGCCGCCCGTGCAGGAGGCACGGGCAGTGCAGCTTCGGCCTTGCCGCGGGGCGGCCTGGAGCTGCGCGGCGCTCTGGGCCGACGTTTGCCCCAGACAGGTCGGGAGTTGCTATCAGTCGGGCATGCCCCGTGACAGGAGGAATATCCAGAAATAGTCACAACAACTACTCAGGGGACGATTATTTGACTCTCTTTGGATGGTTGAGTTTTGAGCATTTTTGGGTGTCTTTTTTTTATTCTTCGTCCACGGTGCACCTGTAGGGGGACACGCCCGACCTAAGAACTGCTCTGCACGAGGGGGAGGGCCAGCGGCGAAGCGGGTCGAGCCCCACAGGACCCGTTTTGCTGCCGCGCCGCTCGTGCTGCCTTGCTGCTTTCGCCTCGACTTCGGGGGGGCGCAGGCGAAGCGGGCCTCGCGAGGGGTGCTCTGGCGGCCGTGGGGGGCTTCCTTTTCCGAGAGGAAAAGGTACCTATACCTCTCCCGCCGCCCGTTTTCCTCTTTCTGAGCCTCCTGGGAGGCCCTCGTCGCCACCGCTGGATTGGCCTCGAAATCCTGGTCAGAACGCACCCCAGGAGAGGTCTGGGGAGTAGCGGTATCGGTACCTTTTGGTTTCCCCATCCTTAGGCATTCTGGGGGCACCCTGGGCCAGGCACCTCCAGCGACACCCGACGGAGGTGGCCCAGCACTGGCTGCAGGGGTGGGCGGGGGGGCGGCCTCGAGGCGCGGGGTTCGACAAGGGGGCAACCTGCGAACCCTGATCACCCCTACCCCCCACGAGTTCTGAGGGGGGAGGGCGAGGTCCACTTCGCTCGGGCAGCTCCCCGAGGGAAGTGGACCCCGCCCGCCCCTCAGAAACCGTGGCGGGCGGCATGGGGCAGGGCTCGCATGTGGCCCCCGTACGACTGCCGCTGCTGCCGCGTGCATCCCCGAGGTGCGCAGGGGCAGCAGCTTTTTGACGGGTGAGGGCTTCCTCCGTGTTTCCTCTTTCAGTTGTTGTTATCTCTCTCTCTCTCTCTCTCTCTTTCTCTTTCTCCCTCTCTCTCTTTCTCGCCTCTCTCTCTCTCTCTCTTTCTCTCCCTCTATGTCGCTCTCTATCATTTGCACGCGCGTGTGTTAATTATCTCTTTTATGCTCTCTCTCTCTCTCTCTCGCAGTTCGCACACACACACACACACATCTTGCTCGCCTCTCTCTTTCTCTCTCCCTCTCTCTCCCCCTCTCTCCATCTTTCTATCCCTCTCTCGCGCTCTTGGACTCTCTCCTGCTCTCTCTCTCTCTCTCTCTCTTTCACTCTTTCTTTCTCGCTCGCGCTTCACACACGCCACCCGCACACGCGTTTTTGTTTGTTTGTTTGGTTGTCGCTCTCCTCCTCTCTTTATCTCTCCCTCCTCATTTGCATCTCCATAGCTCTCTCCTCTCTCTCTCTCTCTCTCTTCCGCACTCCTCGCTTTCTACGTGTCCCCGCCTCCCGCCCCGTATCGTCCAGCATCTTCCTTCCTGCTCGTGTCCTGATTCATCTTCGGCCGCGGGTCCAGCGGATTATACTGTTTGCAACGGGGTGACCAACCAGATGCTTGGTCACGCGGCAAACATCGCGTGGGCGATCCGTCATGCAGAGGCCATCATGATTCCGGACGTGTTCATAATGGACGGATCTCAGGTTGTGCACGACGATGCGTTGTGGAAGAAGAACACGTTGCCGACACCCGAAAATTCTATATCTTTTGGAGCGGTGTTCGATACAGCCGAGCTGATCTCGGAGATCAAATCGCACGGGGCTAATGTAACATTAGTCCCGTACATGGACAAGATCCAAGGGAAGCTCGATTGTTCTTTCACGTCGACTCTTCAATCCTCCGATCCGCGGGTTGTTACAAAAATATTATCATCCATGGGACCATCTGCGGGAGCAAGGTCACTACTGGCTGGTATGCGATCAGCAATTGTGAAATACATCAACAACAAAGAGGGGTTGCTCGTAGATGCTGCAGACATGTTTATGGGCGCCTCGCCATCGCACCCAGGTGTTTGCCTTCACCATCGCGAGGGTGAAGATTGGGAACGACATTGCGCGGAATGGGAAGCTCGATCTCGGTCAAACCGAAATTGCATGAGCAAGAAACCTTTGTCACAGGGCGTGTTGCGGCGCACCTCGCATCTTCGATCCCCGTGGATATTCTACGTGGGAGACCGCGCCATCCCCAGGGAGGTGGCGTCTCTGGGGATGCCTATAGTCAGCCGCGAGTTGGCGTTTCCCTCCACATCGGAGGTCGTGTCAGCTTTCACGAGCCGCTCGATCAAGTCGGTCCCTCGTGATATTGGTGCAGTGTTGGATTATTTTCTTTGTTTCAGCATGTCTATTTTCATTGGCAACTCTGTGTCGTCGTGGAGCGCGGTCCAGATCGCGCAGCGGAGCGGCATGGCCTCGTGGTATAACTCTCAGTTTATCCCCCTCGCCAGCGCTTGGCGGACGTTCCACGTCCCCATTGTGTACACCTACACCGAGGGGAGTTCTTTGTCGGGCAAGTACTTGCTGCAGGTGTCCATACTCTCGGTGAAGCGATCCAGCCGTGCTGTCGCGCGTGTCCGCAGCCCTCCGCCTCGGGGCGTGGCACGGCGGCGCGGCTGGGAGGCCGTGCCGAACGCCTCTTGACCGGGGGCCTCCTGCTGCAGGGCCCTGGGACGGCCGGCCTTCCTGGGGACCACGGGGGTGCCTCCGGAGGCCTCGGAGGTTTCTCCGGGAGTCCTGGGGGCCTGGGCTTCTGGATCCAGGCGGCCCGGGCCGAGGGAGAGACCGCAGGCTGGCCTGGATCCAGAGGCCTCCCGCGCAGGTCTCTCGGGGGACGGTGGGGGTGGAGGGGCAGGCCGGGGGGGGGGGAGGCAGGACGGCATCGAGGATTGCGAGGGTGCTCGAAGCACCACGGCTGCGCAGCTGGCGCGGCGGCGGAGTTATGCCTGGCGCGGTCATCCATATGTTGTACCATGGGATTGGCGCGGGCGATGCCGATTTTCGGCGATGGCTGCTCGAGCGCGGCGTCGTCATGCACGAGCACCACCCGCAGTGGACGAGCGAGGCCCAGCGGGGAGCGGCCTGTGCAGGAGGAGGGGAGGAACGAGAGAGGATGAGGAAGGGAGGGGAGGCGGTCGAGGTTTGGCCTCGAATGGCCTACTCGGCCTGATCAATGCATCGGTTGACTCGTGTTTCCCTGAGATCCTGGCGTGGCAATTTTTTCGCACAGGGCGTTTTCGCTCAATTTCGGGCCCCGGGACCCTCACAGACAGATCCGGCTCGAAAAATGTCGCAGAACGGTTGGGTCTGAGGCTCCGGTCGTGATTTTTTGCGATGTTGAATTTGTTTTGCGCCGTCGGATCTCAGGGTTTGTTGGTGGGAGCAGGTGGCATTGACACTCGTGGGCAGCTGGGACCACTTTAAGTCTGTTTGTTCTAGTTTGATTTCGCCTGTACGGCCCAGCGGGACCATTGTTGCGATTGCGGTTGCAAAGAGAGGGAGGGTTAAAGCTTGGCTGCAGGAGATGAGGAGGAGGACGAGGAGAAGGAGGAACTCCCTGCTGCGCTCCGAACAGATGTTCTCGGACCTAGACGCGACGGCTCAAGCAAGCCAACGGTCGCCCAGCGTAGAATGGAGGAGCTCCCCCAGCGGCCTTCTCATCCCCATCCTTCTGCTTCTGAAGGCTGTTCGGGGCGGCCCGGGAGGAGAGGAGGGCATGGACAGGGTAGGACTGATTGCGACGCGAAGTCGCGCTACCAACCCTGCAGCTGCGCCGGGGGATGTCCTGGCCCAGGCGACGTTCTTCTTTTCCAGCGGCTGCGCCTCGCCTGTGGCGCCGGCAGGCCGTCCCGCCGCGGCACCTCTGTGTGGCAGGGCATGCGGCTGGGAAGCGCAGGCGCTCTTGAACGCACCTCCACTCGGCGCCCAGCCAGCGTGCACGTCGAGGGCGTCGATTGTCGAAGCACGCGCGGCACAAGTCAGCACGTGGAGGGGTCGGTGCGGATCAGAGGAGGAAGAGGGCCTCCTCCTCCTCCTCCTCCTCCTCCTCCTCCTCCTCCTCCTCCTCCTCTCCTCCTCCTCCTCCTCCTCCTCCTCCTCCTCCTCCTCCTCCTCCTCCTCCTCCTCCCCCTCCTCCTCCTCCTCCTCCTCCTCCTCCTCCTCCTCCTCCTCCTCCTCCTCCTCCTCCTCCTTACCGCCACCCGTCCCTCGTCGCCGGGGCCGGACTCTCGCCCCGCAGCCCTGGCCAGAGCGCACCCCGGGGACGAGGTGCGGGAGCAGCGGCATCGGTGCCTTGTGGCTCCCCCAGGGGGGGGGCAGGCAGAGAGCTGGTGCGCCTAGAGGCCGCGGAGCTGCCGCGGGGGAAGAGGCAACTGCATGGGCATGCGCCTCTGGAGTTTCGCCTGGATGTATTGGGTCGGGGTTGGGCCCCCGCCGGCGGCGCCGCTCCCTGCGCGCCCTGCGCGTCAGGGAGGGTGCTCCAGCGCGGATCCCAGAAAGCCGCACGCACCTCCAGAATGATATATCTTGTGACCCCACGAAGCCGCTGACATCCTTCTTGCGAGCATTGACGCCAACCGTACAAAGGTAAACTGTTCGCGTGATGGGAAGGCCGCGCAATGAATAGACAACAGTGCTGCAAAACAGGCCGTCGGGAGGCTGCCGATTTCTTGTTCCCGATGGTCAAATCTGCCGTGCCCTCCAGGGGCCTCTGAAGCCAACGCGGCGACCAGATGAACAATCCGCCTTCACTTTCGCAGTCGGATTTGAAACTCCGATCAGCCACCGCCTCCCCAGACAAACTCGATGTGTGTGTGTATGTGTGTGTGTGTGCGCAACCCTGACGGCTACCAGCCGTTTATATAAAGCACACGATCGCTCTGGATTCACGCCGGTGGGGAAGGAAGGGATGACGGGGATGAACGCGGAAGTGGAATTCAAACAACAGGTACCGGGGCGCACCGAGAAACCTTCAAAGGGCGGCATTACACAACGAACATGTTACGAATTTCGCCCTACGATTCGGCAACCACCCAGCATTGTGGTTGTCACGGGGCATGGTGCGCAGCGATACACGGCAGGATATGCCAGTACACAACCGGAGGAAGGAGGCGAGACAGGGCGAGGGAAGAACAGTAACAGTGACGTCGGCGACGCCACAAACAGGTGTGCAGCAGATCTGACCCGCGCCGTGCTGCACGAGCTCAAAGATGTGGTGGCATGGCTGGGCGAGCAGCGCACGCCACCGGGGGTTCTGCCAGGCGAGAGGCGGGTGGGAGCCCGCCCGTCGGCGGCCGGAGCGCGAGGCGTGGCGCGATCCGGGGAGACGGCGGGGCAGGCCCAGGACAGCGCCCGAGGTCGGCCAGCCGCGGCACTCGAGCACGCCGCACGGCGCAGGCGAGCGGCGGGCGTCCCGGCCACACCAATCACGGAGAGCGAGGGGGGCGGAAGGCGGAGGAGGAGGATGGGGGAGGAGGAGGGGGAGGAGGAGGGGGAGGAGGGGGAGGCGGGGGAGGAGGGGGAGGAGGAGGAGGAGGAGGAGTAGGAGGAGGAGGAGGAGGAGGAGGAGGAGGAGGAGGAGGAGGAGGAGGAGGCGGAGGAGGAGGAGGAGGAGGAGGAGGGGGAGGAGCAATCACCCAGACGGCATGCGGGAGCGTAATCCTGCGATGACGCGCGCACGAGCGGGCGGACAAATCCTGCCCCACAAGAAGCCGCCACCCACACTTTGTCCTGCGAGCGTGGCCGAAAATTGGCGATTGCCCCGGGCCTGGGGACAGTACGGTCCGACAGCAAGCAGCAACGACGGGCGAGATCAAGCAGGAAGCAGGGGCGCTACCAAGCCGCAGGAGGCGGACGATGCACCAACATGCATCCCAAGCAAGCGGACACACGGGAGCGCACCGTTCACCAGCAAGCAAGGAAGTACAGCCCCTGAGGGAGGAGGAGAGGCCGACGGCCAACAAAAGGAAAGGGACGGGCGAGATGAGCGGAAGAGACGAGACGACGACGGACGACACACGACGTCGACGATGAACGAAGAATGCGTCGACGACAAACGAAGGAACCGGCTGCAGGAGGGACCGGGTCGTACCACAAGGCCGCGAAAGACAAACAAAACGGTTGAACAAGACACTTGAGTGGTGGATCTCTCTGCCGCAGACAGACAATGCATACGCCCACGCGCCCCAGCGCAAGACCATGTACAATTTGGCAGAGATGGGCGTAGCATGGAATTGCGCCTTCAAGCCGGCAGCAGTAAGTCGGGCCTACAGGAGGAATATTCAAAAATAGTGAACAAATAGTCTGGGGATGATTTCGCTATAGTTTTTGCCCAATTGGGGGGCATAATTGGAGTTGTTTTCCATTTTTCGCCCGAAATCCCCCGGTAGGGGGACACGCCCGACTTAGCCGTAGCAGAGCAAACCAAAGCACAGCACGGAGCCTCCATGGCACAGCACGGCACATCCCACGACGGCGGCAGCCACTGTGCTGCGGAGGCCTCCCCAGAAGCTTCCGGAGACCCCTCTGCAGCTTCCCGCGCGTCTCCAGGAGGCCTCCTGAGGCCCTACGCGGGGCAGACGCGTGCTCCTCGATCGGACGACGACGACGACGACGACGACCAGATGTCTCTGGAGGCATCTGGATGTCCTCGGAGGCTTCCTCAGTCCCCAAGGAGCCCCGATGCTCGATCCTCGCAAGACCCGCGGGAGGACGGAGGGCCTGGCGCCGAGAAGGTCCTAGCAGGTGCGCGGGGCTGACTGCTGCTTCGTGGTGGGAACGCCCGCCGCTCACGCAGTTTTTCTGCCCCTCCTCGTTTGTCTCCCTCTCCTTCCCAGGAAGAGCGAGAGGCGTGAGGGGATCTCTATCGTCTTTCTGCTCCGCCCCTTGACCCCCTCTGACGCCATGTCAGCGCGTCTTCGACCTCGATCCAAGACTGCGCAGGAAGTTGTGATGTCTGGTGCTCGATCGGTGGCCGCGGGGCCAATGTCTGGCGCGCGACCTTGTCCCCAAACATTGTTTGCACTGGCGAGGCCGGCGCCAGAAATCTTGGACAATTTTGCAGCATCTTGGACCATTTTGGGGGCATCTTGGACCATTTTTGGGAAACAAAAACACAGACCCAATTATATAATCGTAGATCCCCAGGAAAATATTGGAAAACATGGACATGAAATATGGGAACATATGAGGGATCCTGGGATTTGTGTGTATTTATGTGTGTCTCCCTAGGCCCCTTCAAGACAAGCACAATATACCGAACACTGCACGGGGAACGGACGCCGAGCGATGGCAAGAGCTTCCTTACCGAGGAAGCGGTTGGGTGCGGCGTGGCTTCGCCCCGTTGCCGCCCGTTGCCGCCTCGTGCGCTGAGTGGGTCCAGCGACGTGCCGCCACCGCCTCGTTGCCGCCTTGTTGCCTCCGTTAGATTGCATCACGTATGCTGTGCCACACAGTTTGCACCACAGCCGCGGTGCAAGAAGCCACTGTTCGGGGGGCTGCTCACGGATGGTGCGTATCTGGCCTTCACAACGGTCGCGGTCTCGCGATGCGAAGCGATGCGTGACATGACATTCGGTTCCCTTTGCACATTTACGGACACCAGTATTCTAAACTCACGTTGGCATGCCCAAAACGTAAATACCCCAAACCATCAAAACTCGTTTAGATATGCTTAAAAACATTAATATATCGGGCGCCAACGTACACAGCACATATTGCATAGCTCCTTTTGTATAACAGCACTCACAGCTTACAGCTTATTTGCCTACTGATGAGTATTGATCGCTGCTCTTATGCCCAACCAATTTGGACGCTTCCGGGAAAGAATCGGCGTGGCCAGTGCACAGCCAGAGGCGGCATGCAGCTACTGTGGAATTTCAAAGTTCGGTCATGAATCAATGTGATGAGAATTTCTGCCGATTGGACGCGATATATCATCGCCCTATCTCCTCAGGGCAGCATGCTCCTAATAACGCGGTGTAACACAATGGGAGGGGCACCAATATTTCGGCAGAGATCGAGAGGACAGTGCGCAGCATGGAAATACTTCTGTTTCGCACTAGTTTGGATGACTCAGATTATTGTGAGGCTTTGGTTTCCAACAACATGAGCACACTGCAAACACATTGCAAGGGACGACCAGAACCAGATGTTGAGAGATCGCCGAAGAAAGAGCCTGTTTTTTTAGATGGAGGCCACATCTGAGTTTAAAACTAGGAGGGTAGATATTGTTGAGGCCGCTGTTTACGACTTTTAAGACAAGGATGTGGCAGTGCAGACAAACAGTCTGACGGACAATTCCGTTTCACGTGCATGCCCAATTCAAGCGCACCTCACTCCCCGGCGTTCACGGTGCAATGGCCGAGCAGTGTTAACGTGCATGATTGATATTTGCAACATGGGCGTACAAGTTTGTTCCCATGGCTCGGGTACCTTTGCAGACGCCGCCCTCAAGTGCATCGAGCGAGAAGTCTGACATACAGGCAAGCACTTCGGATGTTGCGCCGGCACCTCCAAGCATCAATATGGATGATTGCGCCCGAGACTGGGATGAAGGGCGATGGGTTGTTGATCGTACTGAGCTTGAAAGGCCATATCTCAAAGCATAGCCGTGTACAACATTTGCAGGGCGGCATTGTGAGATTGGAAGGTTTTGGTTGGCAGCTTTTCGAGACAAGTCCTCTATTCTTTCAGTCCTGAGCTTCTGCCGTAACGGGGTGGTCGTCGAAGACGCCGCTGACGCACCCGCGCTTTCTGCAACGAGTACTGGTGTGTTCGGTATGTTGATTGCTCCACGCGTGCAGTTTCGGACCGTTCTGTGATTCCCCCTCCCTCTCCTCCTTCTCCCCGCTCCGCGCCGTCGCCTGGCGCCTGCCTTGACCGACTGACTGAACGTACATCTCCTACGCACGCCCTACGACCCCCAATGCCCGCCTTACGGACCCAGGCCGACTTTGGCATCCCACCGTCTTGGAATAATCATACGGCACCCAAGCAGGATATAAGCTTGCAAGGAACATCTAGGAGGACATGCCTCGATCGGCGGCGGCGGCCGGGGGGGAGTTTTCGATCGCACTCGGTGTCAGCATCGTCGCTACGTCATGCAGCCCACGGTCGCGCGGTACAGAAGACCAGGAGTTACGCAATCACAGCTTGCGGCATTCAGGGGTTTTGGGTGACGAAGGGCTGACACCATGCTTTCTGTTGTTTCCTGCCGTTTCGTGCATGCGGCTCTCATGAACTGTCGGGGGTGGACAGAACCCCCAACAGTGACACGTCGATTAGTGAATTGTCCGTTTTCGGTTTTCGAGAGGGCGCCGTGGCCGTTATTTTCCAGGCTTGCGCCCGCCAGTTTTGGGCCTCGGGTCGTTTTCACTAAACCACGTTTTGCTAAAGGGGGGTCTGTCCATCCCCGAAACTGCTGCTTCCCGTGGGCCCGCGGGTCAGGTCGAGCGCCTGCGCCTCGCGGGCGACACGCAGGCCAGCCACCTGTACAGCAGCCAGGGGAATTACCTGGGGACCTGGCAGCGCCCGGGGCTCTGCGCGCGCGGCTGCTCGTCGCCGATGCCGCATCGGTCGTCGTTGCCGTCGTCTTTTTTGCAAAAAAAACCCTCGTAGGATTGCAAAACAACCCTCGTTTTTTTTGCAATCCTTCGTTTTTGCAATCCTCCGTCCTCGTCTGTCGCCGTCGCAGTCGTCGTCGGTCGTTGTCCGCCGTCGTTGCCGCAGCCGTGGTCGTCCGTCGTCGTCATCGTCGTCTTCATCCGTCGTCGCCATCGTCGTAGTCGCCGTCCGTCGTCCGCCGGCGCGCTTCCACTGTCGTCATCGTCGTCCGTCGTCGCCTTCCGTCGTTCGTCGTCGCCCTCGTCGTAGTCGCCGTCGGTCGTCCGCCATCCCTTCGTGCCGTCGTCGTCGTCGTCGTCCGTCGTCGATCGTCGTCCGCCTTTGGACATGGTTTGATGGTTTGGCATGTCACTGCTCTTGTTTAGCTTGTGGAGCCCTCTGGCGGCCTGGGACCTTGAAGGGGGAGAGGAGGGAGGAGGAGGAGGAGGAGGAGAAGGAGGAGGAGCAGGAGGAGGAGGAGGAGGAGCAGGATGAGGAGAAGGAGGAGGAGAAGGAGGAGGAGGAGGAGGAAATGGAGGAGGAGGAGGAGCAGGAACACGGGAGGACCTAACGAACATACGTTGTTTTAGAGTGTGTTGAAAAGCCCTTAGAGCGTCCCAGAGATGTCTGGAACAGCTGGGGAGCCCGCGTGCTCTCAGACATTCCAGACTTACCCTCGCCATCCGCGGGTGTCTTCCTCCTGCCTCTGTCTTTGGAAATGCAGAGAACGAGGAGGGAGCACCAGGAGGAGGGAGGACCAGGAGGACGGAGGAGGGAGGAGGAGCAAGACGAGGATGGTGAGACGAAGGATGCATACACAGGGAGATAGGGGACTATGAGTTGAACTGGAAGGCAGACGAGGAGGAGGAGGAGGAGGAGGAGGAGGTGGAAAAGGGGGGATTGGCATTGGAGGAGAAAGAAGAGGAGGAGCAAGGAGCAGGAGAAGGAACCCAGAACTCCCGAGCGACGGAGGAGGCGACGGGGGAGGCTCCTCAGGAGAAGGCGGAGGAGGAGCAGGAGGAGAAGGAGGAGGAGGAGCAGGAGGAGGAGGAGGGAGGCAGAAGGAGGAGGGAGACAGGAGGAGGAGGGGGAGGAGGAGAGCAGGGCAGGGGCAGGAGCGCGGAGGAGCAGGAGGAGGAGGGAGGCAGGACAGGGAGCCATGCAGAGGCGCTGCGGCAGCTCCGGCGGCGAGCGGCTGGGGCGGCCGCGGCTGCGGCGGTCGCGGCCGCGGCGGTGCCGGCCGAAGCGGCGGAGCGCCTGCGGCGGCGGCAGGTGTGGCGGCCGTTGCTGCGGGCGGCGGCCGCGGTGCGCGGCGGCGGCGGAGGCAGGCACGGGCACAGCCAGCGGCAGCGGCAGGGGCACGAGCGGCGCTGGCGTTTGACCTCCCTGGCTAGCGTTCGTCTTCCGTTTGTGGCGCCGCGCGGGGGCGGCAGCGGCGGGGGCAGTGCCACCTGTGCTGCACCAGTGTCCTCCAGCAGGCCTTGCCTGTCCCGGTGCCCTGGCTTCTGATATCGCTGGACGGCAGCATTGGCAGCGTTGCCTTTGGGGCAGGGGGGCAGTAAGAGGAGAAGGAGGATGAAGAGGAGGAGGAGGAGGAGGCGGAGGAGGAGAAGGAGACGGAGGCAAAGGAGGAAGAGGAGGAGGCGGAGGAGGAGAAAAAGAGGCATAAACATGAGGATGAGGAGGGGGCGATAGGAGGAGGGGGAGGAGGAGGAGGAGGAGGAGGAGGAGGAGGAGGAGGAGGAGGAGGAGGAGGAGGAGGAGGAGGAGAAGGAGGAGGAGGCAGAGGAGGAGGATGAGGAGGAGGAGGAGGAGGCAGAGGAGGAGGAGGAGGAGGAGGAGGCGGAGCTGAGGTATCGATATCCCGTTTCACCTCTCGGTGGAGTATTGCCTGCTCCTCGACTCCGACACAATCGTGACGCGGGAGTTCACCCTGGCGGATTTTGGGGAGGATTCCGCAGGGTCGTGGGGAGGGGTTGGCGGGGCGGTTCCACATGCTCGAGGAGCCAGCGGCGCGCACCAGAGGGTGGCGGGAGGAGTGGTGCCGTTCTGAAAAGGTATAGAGGGCCTGCTCGGAGGCCGGGAGGCGTCTTAGAAGCAGGTCTTCGCAGAAGCCTCGGGGCCTTGCTAGGAGGGCCCCTCCCTTGAAAGAAGCCCAGGCGCCTTCGTCGAAGGTCACCTCAGAAAGCAGGCCGTCTCAGAAGTCTCCGGGCCTTGTTAAGAAGGCCCTTCCCTTGCAAGACGCCCCCCACGCCTCCTCCGAAGGCCGCCTCAGACAGCTGATCGTCTCATAAGCCTCAGGGTCTTGCTAGGAAGCATGCAGTGGCGAAGCGTCCTGGCGTGCCTATAGCAAACAATGTTCTAAGAACCTTCAGTGGTTTGCACGATATGTTCTTAGAACATTTCTGGCCGATCTTGTCTTTGTCTTAACCACCCTGTGGAGTTGGGTCTTCCGTTTTGAAGAGACAGCGCCCGCGTCCTCCTTCCTTCCTTCTCCTCCCGCTGCCTCCCCTTCCTCTCCTTGCCTCTGCCCCTTGCATGTCTCTGTTTCGGCACACCCCTCACACGGTTCGTGGCCCCATAGGGAGCTCCACCGAAGGCCCCAATGGTAAAGTTCGCATGCATTCGGCGCCCCCCACACGGTTCGTGGCCCCATGGGGAGCTCCACCGAAAGCCCCAGTGGCAAAGTTCGCATGCAGTTCAACTCCCATTTCGGCGCACCCCTCACACGGTTCGTGGCCCCATAGGGAGCTCCACCGAAGGCCCCAGCGGCAATATTCGCATGCAGTTCCACACCATTTCGGCGCACCCCTCACACGGTTCGTGGCCCCATATGGAGCTCTATTGCAGGCCTCAATGGCAAAGTTCGCATGCAGTTCCACTCCCATTCCAGCGCACCCCTCACACAGTTCGCGGCCCCATATGAAGCTCCACCGTATGCGGTTCCACCCCCATTTCGGCGCGACTCTCGCACGGTTCGTGGCCCCATAGGGAGTTCCACCGAAGGCCCCAGTGGCAGAGTTCGCATGCAGTTCCACCCCCATGTCGGCCTCCCACACGGTTCGTGGCCCCATAGGGAGTTCACCGAAGGCCCCAGTGGCAAAGTTCTTATGCAGTTCCACCCCCATTTCGGCGCACCCTTCACACGGTTCGTGGCCCCATGGGGAGCTCCATCCAAGGCCCCAGTGGCAAAGCTCGCATGCAGTTCCACCCCCATTTCGGCGCACCCCTCACACGGTTCGTGGCCCCATAGGGAGCTCCACCGAGGACAGTACTTACCATTGCGTTACTCACAATTGCATAGGCGCCCCCCCGTGCCTTCTGCACGCGCCAGCTTCGTCGCGACGCCCGCTGGTGCGCGCCGCCAGGAGGGACAGATGGGGGTCCGCACGGAGGAGGAGGAGGAGGAGGAGGAGGAGGAGGAGGAGGAGGAGGAGGAGGAGGAGGAGGAGGAGGAGGAGGAGGAGGAGGAGGAGGAGGAGGAGGAGGAGGGGGGGGGAATTGGAGGGGAGGAGGAGGAGGAGGAGGAGGAGGAAGAGGAATTGGTGGAGAGGGGAGGGAATTGGAGGAGGAGGAGGAGAGGAGGAGGAGGGGAAGTAGGAGGAGGAGGCGCTGCCAGGAAGATAAGAGAGTACTGTTTCGTTTTAGCCCCCTCCACCGTGCTGGGCTTAGCCGTGCGGGGGAGGCAGGATTAGTGGCAGCGATCTTCGACCTCGAATGCCATGAGTCAGTCAGTCAGGGGGAGGAGGAGGAGGAGGAGGAGGAGGAGGAGGAGGAGGAGGAGGAGGAGGAGGAAGAGGAGGAGGAACTCGCGGCTCCTTGGGTAGCTGCGAACTGCACAGTGATAGTGTTCGGTGTTTTCCGTGGGTTCCTGGGAGGCACGGCGGAGTAGGGGAGTGTACGTGTCAAGCCGAGGCCTCGCAGCTCCTTGGGTGGCTGCGAAGAGCGCAATGGTCGGCATTATCGCGGGTTCCTGGGAGGCACGACGGAGTAGGGGAGTGTACACGTCCAGCCGAGACTCTGCATCTCTCCGTCCTCAGAGGTTCCCGGGAGAGGCACGGCGGAGTAGGAAAGTGTACGCATCCAGCCAAGATCTCGCAGTTCCTTGGGTGGCTGCGAACTGCGCAACGGTCGCCATTTTCGCGGGCTCCTTGGGGGCACGGCGGAGTAGAGGAGTATACGCATCCAGCCGGGATGTCGCTATTTCTTGGGTGGTTGCGAACTGGGCTACCGTCGCCATTTTCGTGGGCTCCTGGGAGGCACGGCGGCGTATGGAAGTACGCGCATCCAGCTGAGACTTCGCAGCTCCCTGGGTGGCTGCGAACTGTTCAATTGATGTCATTTTCTCTGGTTTCACGGAGGCACGGCGGAGAAGGGGTGTTTACACATCCAGCCGAAACCTCGCGGCTCCCTGATTTGCTGCGAATTGCGCAAGAGTCGCCGTTTTCGTTGATGGTTGGGCCATCTGTGTTTGAATTTGCTGCAAACATTTACGACGAATGTGCGCGGTGCCAAAGCGAGACCTACAGTTTAATGTGGAATGGCCCTACATCATGGACGTTGTTGTCGACAAGTAAGACCAGTGCGCGCGGCGCTAAAGCGAGAACACCATTTTGAAACCCACCGTCCTTCATCCTTGAAGTTGTTGTAAGTTTCAAGCTTCAGGCACATGCCTTGTAAGAACGTCTCGGGCTAAACGCGCGCTCCTCACCGCGGACACGTCTGGGGATGCGACAGGGAGGAGTTTGTCATAAGGAGAAGGGGTGGAGGAGGAGGAGGAGGAGGAAGAGAATGATGAGGCTGTTGCTGATGATGATGCTGTTTCTGATGATGATGATGCTGATGATGATGATGCTGATGATGATGCTGATGATGATGATGCTGCTAGTGATGCTGATGTCGTCGATGATGATGCTGGTGCTGCTGCTGATGATGATGATGGTGGTCAGGATGACGATGCTACTGTTGATGCTGCTGCTGATGATGACGATGCTGATGATGCCGATGATGATGCTGATGCTGTGTATGGTGGCGTTGATGATGATGATGATGCTCATGATGATGCTGATGCTGATGATGACACTTACGCTGTTTATGCTGATGCGGGTGCTGCTGCTACTCATGATGGTGATGCTGATGGCGAGGCTGATGCTGGTGATGTTTGTGTTGACCATGATGCTGCTGCTGATGAGGAGGCGGAGGAGGATGATGTTGATGCTGATGCTGATGATAATGATGCGAATGGTGGTGATGATGATGCTGGTGTTGATGTTGTTGATGATGATGACGAAGAGGAGGAGGAGGAGGGAGAGGAGGAGGGGGAGGAGACGGATGAACAGGGGGGATGGAGGAGGAGGAGGGAGAGGATGCGCAGGAGGATGGGGGGGGGAGGCGGAGGAGGAAGATGATGAGAGGGGGAGGTCGAGGATGGGGGGAGGAGGAGGAGGGGGTGGAGGAAGAGGATTCACTTGATGCTGGTGATGATGCTGCTGATGGTGATGCTGGTGGTGCTGATGATGCTGGCGATGATGATGCTGACTCATCATGATGATGATAGTGGCGATGCTGGTGATGATGCTGCTGATTCGGAAGACGAGAGGAGGAGGAGGAGGAGGAGGAGGAGGAGGAGGAGGAGGAGGAGGAGGAGAAGGAGGGGGGAGGAGGTGGAGGACGATGCTGATGATGCTGCTGATGGTGAGGACGATGCTGCTGGTGATGACGATGGCGGTGGTGACGATGCGTATGCTGATGCTGGTCATGATGATGGTGATGTCGATGATGATGCTGATGCTGATGGCGATGCTGCCGGTGATGATGCTGTGGATGGTGGTGATACTGTTGATGAAGATGATGCTCTTGTTGTTGCTGATGATGCTGCTGATGATGACTAGAAGGAGGAGGAGGAGGAGAAGGATGAGGAGGAGGAGGAGGAGGACGGGGGGGCGAGGATGCGGATGCTGATGATGAGGATGTCGGTGAGGCAGAGGAGAAAGAGGAGGAAGAGGGGGAGGAGGAGGACGAGGAGGAGGAGGAGGAGGAGGAGGAGGAGGAGGCGAAAGATGGGGAGGAGGAGGAAGAGGAGGAGGAGTGGGGAGGAGGAGGAGGGGGAGGAAGAGGAAGGGGAGGAGGGAGGATAAGGTGGGGAGGAGGAGGAAGAGGAGGGGGAGGATGAGGAGGGAGGAGAGGAGGAGGAGGAGGAGGAGGAGGAGGAGAGGGGGAGGATGATGATGCGGAGGAGGAGAGGAGGAGGAGGAGGAGGAGGAGAGGAGGAGGAGGAGGAGGAGGAGGAGGAGGAGGAGGAGTGGGGAGAAGGAGGAGAAGGTGGATGCGGCGGAGGATGAGGAGGAGGAGGAGGAGGAGGAAAAGGAGGAGGAGGAGGCGGAGAGGGTTTGGATGCGGAGCAGGAGGAGGAGGAGGAGGAGGAGGAAGAGGAAGAGAAGGAGGAGGAGGATGAGGCTGGGGAGGAGGAGGAGGCGGAGGAGGAGGATGAGGAGTATGAGGAGGAGGAGGAGGAGCAGCAGGAGGAGTAGGAGGAGGAGAGGGGCAAGGGAGGATGAGGAGGATGAGTAGGAGGAGGAGGAGCATCAGGAGGAGGAGGAGGAGAAGGATACTGCTGATGATGGGGATGATGGTGCTGGAGCTTTTGATGCTGGTGGTGTGGATAATTGTGATGGCGAACACGACGATGATGCTGAGAATGCTGACGGTGATGGTTACGATGGTTGTGTTGATGATGCTGGTGCTGACGATGTTGAGGTTGCTGATGATGCTACTTATGGTGATGCCGATGCTGCTGATGGTGATGGTGACGATGTTGATGTTGTCGGGCTGATGATGATGCTAATGATTATGATGTTGTTGATGATTATGATGATGCTGATGGTGTTGGTGATGGTGATGATGTTGGCGATGGCGATGGTGGTGATGCTGCTGATTTTGATGATGATGCTGTTGATCATGATGATGATGAGGAGTAGGGGGAGGATGATGCTGATGGTGCTGATGCTGATGCGGATGCGGATGATGCTGGGACGGAGGAGGAAGAGGACGCGGAGGTGGAGGAGGAGGAGATGGAGGGGGGGGGTTGGAGGTGGACGACGAGGGGGAGGGGGAGGAGGTGGAAGAAGCGGATGCGCAGGAAGGAGTCACGGAACAATTTGGTTGTTTGCGCTTTGACGATCCGAAGTCGTACCCGAACGCCGTGTTGAGGACTTTTCAGCACCGCGAATCAAAATAGCTGTTGCACCCGCAAGATCCTGAACCCTTCCAAAGCACCATTGCTGGTGCACTGATCATGGGAACCCGTGAATCTATTGCAAACTTTAGGAACAATTGTGCGCGGCGTTAAGGCGAGAGCCACATTTTGAAACGGAACCGCCCTCAACCCGCGAATCTCTTGCAGATGTTAACAAAACGATGGTGCGCGGCATTGAGGCGAGAGCCACATTGTGAAAAAGACCCGCCCTCAATCCGTGAAATTGTTGCACAAGTTTAAAACGAACGTGCGCGGCGTTGTGGCGAGAGCCTCATTTTGAAAACGACCTGCCCTTACACATTAGACAAAAGGGCGAATGTGCGCGGCGCTAATGCGAGAGCCAAAGTCTGAAAACCGTCCGCCCTCAATCCGTGAAGGCCTTGCACATGTTTAAACGAATGTGCGCGGCGCTGGGGCGAGAGCCACACATTGAAAACGGCCCGCCCTCAATCCGTGAAGGTCTTGCAACTGTTTAAAACGAATGTGCGCGACCCTAGTGCGAGAGCCACCTTTTGAAAACGACCCGCCCTCAATCCGTGAAGCCCGTACAGATGTTTAAAACGAATGTGCGCGGCGCTAATGCGAGAGCCACATTTTGAAAACCACCCGCCCTCCATCTGTGAAGTTGTTGCCATTTTGTAAGCTTGGGAGTCATAAATGGTGAGGGAGTCTCAGGCGAAACGCCCAGCCCGCCCTAAAAACTGGCCTCGCGGTGCGACAGGGAGAAATCATGTATGAGGAAATGTAATGGAGGAGGAGGAAGAGGATGTGGAGGAGGAGGAGGAGGATGATGACCATGCTGATGATGATGATGATGATGATGATGATGATGATGATGAGGATGAGGATGAGGATGAGGATGATGATGATGCTGATGATGCTGATGCTGATGCTGATGCTGATGATGCTGATGCTGATGCTGATGCTGATGCTGATGCTGATGCTGATGCTGATGCTGATGCTGATGGATGGTGTTGGTGACGATGATGCTGCTGCTGCTGATGATGTTGATGATGGTGAGTGGTGATGGTGACTGGTGATGGTGATGGTGAGGAGGAGGAGGAGGAGGAGGAGGAGGAGGAGGAGGGAGGAGGAGGAGGAGGAAGAGGAGGAGGAAGAAGAGGCGGACGTGAGGAGGAGGAGGAGGTGGAGGAGGAAGAATATGAGGAGGAAGGGGAGGGGGAGGGGAAGGGGGGGAGGAGGAGGAGGAGGAGGAGGAGGAGGAGGAGGAGGAGGAGCTCCAATCTGCTTCCCAGAGGCCGGGGAATGGCTCGGCGGGGCCCGCAAGGGGCCCCAAGACTGCTCCAGCAGTGCCAGCCCTGAGTCTGCCGCAGGTCACGATCCTCCAGAGCAGCCGAACAGAGCGCCAAGGCAGCGCTCGAGAGGGCGCCAGGAAGGCCTCAGCTCAGGGAGTCTCGGAGTGTAGACATGACCGTTTTCGAGGCTCCCAGAGTGTACACGGCGCACGCCAGTTCGCTGCTGTGGCGCATCTGGGTTGGCTGGAACTCTCCAACTTAATGTCTGTAGCAATGTTCCGCTTTCTTCGTCTTTGTGTCCCAGAGGCCAGAACGTGTATGCGTCCATCGCTGTGGGGCGCTGATGTTCGCGTGCCCCAGCATGCAGTGGGTATAGTTTGGGCCCCCCCGAGGGCCCGAATATATCCAGGTCCACCGTCTCCCTGGGGTCCTGGGAGGTCTCCCGCCCGGCCCTCGTGCGCTCCGAATCGGTCCGCAGACCTCTTCGGGTCCTCCCTGATCCGCTTTCCGGGGCGGACTCAGCTGTGGCGACGAGAAGCCCTCCAGGAGGTCCAAACATGATTCAGCAGCGTAGCGCCCTGGCCGCCGTCCGCTCGACTGTCTCGCCTCCTCGAGACCGGCTCTCATGGCGGTGGGTGCCAGCGGCCGGTCCGGAGGACCTGACGATAGGCATGGCCCAGTCTTCGGAGCTGAACGAGAACGACGGCATGCCAAGCAACGCCGGCGTCACGCTGATGAACGTCCCGTTTCTGCGGGAGAGCGTCAGGCCCGGGCGGGCCGTGGGCAGAACACTTCGGCGGTCGAAGTTGTTCTCCGCGTCCAAAGCGCGTTCCTGGACTTCTTTCCCACCCGCGCCCCGCCCGAGGCCTCTTTGGGACTTCGGGATACTTTCTGGAGGCGAGGACGAGGATGAACGGGGGAAAGGACTGTGTTTGCTCACTCGTTCGGGGTCGCCTGATGTGATGTCGATCGCGTTGTGTAGCGCGGTGGCACTGTTGGCGATCCTCTCTGCGTGCGAGTGTTGTTCCCTTTTACTCCACTCCTCCCTCCTCCCCCGATGGGATTAGTCTGTGATGGGGTCGATTGGTTGGCGCTCGCGGCCTCCAAGGGTCGAGCAAGTCTGGGCGAGCAAGAGTCAAAGATCACGGGTTCCCGACAAAAACAGGCGCGCACAACAACGGAGGTCCATAGATGGACCCAAGTTTTGTATCAGCAGGATGATTGACTCATGTCCCATGACTAAGTTAGAGTCAGACGATGGAGGAGGAGGATGAGGAGGAGGAGGCGGAGAAGGAAGATGATGAGAATGTTACTTCTCCTCCCCGATCTCGTTGCCATTCTTCCTCTCCGCGTCCTTCCCGCACTAGTTGTCATCCTTATCCTCCTTGTTCCCTGTCCCCTCCGCCTCCAGTTCTTGCTCAATTCGCTTCCCCATTTCTATTCCAAGCGTGAAGACAGACGTCGGACGTCGGACGTGTTGGCCCGAGCACCCCAGCACGCAAATGGCCACATGCATACGTACACCACGCGAACACAGGCACACACAGCCACACAGGCACACGCACACATACACACACACACACACACACACACGCACACACACACACACACACACACACGGCCCTGTGTGCATGGGAACCCCGCCAAGCCAGCCACACATCACGCCCGAACAGCAGCATGTCCGTTCCATCATGGACGATGCCATCATCTGGGCGTCTTTCTGGATCGATCGTTTCGACGTGGCAGGCTTCACCCACGAGTGGGACTACCGTACGTGGTGTTCGGAATATCTTGAAAGGTTTCTCAGCTCGGCGGCGTGGGCACCAGTTCGAGAGCATCTTCTGCGTAGCAACCCTGGCCGCACTCTCGGGCAGGTCGTCGACGACCTATGCGCCACCTCTTGGACGCGTGCCGAACCAGCCCGTCAGGCGCAGTTCGCCAGGGTACGGCCTGACTCGGGTTTGACAGCCAGGCAGCGCCGTCGGCTGCTTCGGCATCACTTCGATGTGTTGAACCGGGTCAGGGAGCGTTTCAGGGATCTTCTTGGAGATCGTGCCCCGCCTGAGACGGCCTCCTGGCACCAGTGGCCGCGCCGCCGAGGACGCCCATGGCTACGACGATACCGACGAGTTCGCGGCCCTCAGCGTGCACAGCGACCTCGAGGTGGTGGAGGCAGACGGCAAGGCCACGCAGGCCACAGGCACCCAGGCGTCAGAGCGCGAGTCGTCGCCCAATCCCGACCTCGCCCCCAGGGCACTCCAGCCACAGGAGGAGGGAGCTCCAGCGGGAGGGGCGAGGCGGGAGGGTGTTTTGCGGATCCGCAGTGCGGCAGCCACCTGTTCCCAGGACGTGGACGACGGTGCTACGGCTGGCGCTGGGGCAGCTCCTGTTCCCACGGTGCCGCCCGCTGCTCAACCCGCTGGCGAGCCTGGAGCTGATCAGGGCGAGTTGGCCAGCTCCCTGGACGTGGACGGCAAGGCTGCCACCCAGGCAGCGGCCGCTGTGTGCTCCGCCCCATTGGCGGCACACCAAGCTCGTGCTGGCCAGGGCAGCCTGAAACACGGTGGTAAGGCCCCAAGGACTGGTTCCTCAGCATCCTCGGCGGCGGCGGCGGGCTCTGGCCAGGGCGGCCTGGCACCGCTGGCGGGGTCCCCGCCGCCCTCGGCTGGGGCTGCGGCGGCCTCGGAGCCAGAGCGGGGTGCGCGCGGGCGGGCGGCCTCTGCCCAGCCCGCCAGGAGTGGCCAGGCGATGCCTGAGACGGCCAGAGCCGCTTCATCGGGGCCTCGGCCACATACGGTCGAGATCATTGGCAACTTCGTGGTCTGCGTCGTGTGTGGTTCCTACTACAGGTCGGTGGCCAGGAACCTCGGCGGGCCGTGCAGGCGGCTGGACCCGCGCGACCCAGGCGACAAGGAGCGCCTCAGGCGCATTCGCCGCATCCAGCGCGGCCAGGACCCAAAGACTGGAAGGGATCTGAGTTGAGGCCGTTGTGCTCGTTCAATGATCTGTCTGGTCTCAGTGCGTGCGGCCCCCCTTGGCGCGGTGTTATCCGTGAGCTGAGGGGCCTGGGCGGGGCTGCCGCCCCGCTCGGGGCGCTCGGGCCTGCTTCCCCGCGTTGCGGGTGGCCTGGGCGCGGCGCGTTTCTCGCTGCGTTTTCGGCCCCCCTTGGCAGCAGGCTGAGGGGCCTAGGGTGGGGCGCGGCCTCGAGAGGGCCACGGCGCCGCCGCCCTGGGGAGCGCGCGGGGGCGCTGCCCGCGGCTCGGCTCCTTTCGGGCTCGGCAGGCGACGGACGTCGCTCGAGGGCCCAGCGCACGGGCCTGGCGAGGTGCAGACGCCCCAGGCCGCCGACGCACCAAAGCACCAAAACACGCACACACACGCACACGCACACGCACACGCACACGCACACGCACACGCACACGCACACGCACACGCACACGCACACGCACACGCACACGCACACACACACACACACACACACACACACACACACACACACACACACACACACACACACACACACACACACACACACACACGTGCACAGGCCAGGCACAACACCTGACCCAAGAGTACGCAGGCAACCGCTAAACATCAGCTACCAAAGGCAAACATCTGGGCATGCAAGGGGTCCCAGCGATTACACCCCATGCGCACACATGCGCGTTGGGTGCAACTCCATGCGCGCGTGCGCGCGCAAGCTCAGAGAAGCGGCGCTTCCCGTTCTCGTCCAGAAAGGTTTCCTGGCAGGGGTCCTGGGACCGATCCTCGGGGGGCCCCACCAGTTCAGACTTCCTGGCCGCCAGCGAAGTGCCAGACGGTCGCCGGAGAGTCTCGTTACCGCGGTCCTGCGCAGGCCTCCCTCACCACGCAGTCAGTGAAGCCGATGACGGCAGGTCCGCGACACGTCGACGCGGCGGCGACGGTCAAGGTTGGAAGCTGCCGGTGGCCCAGGATCCGCCGATGTCGAACGCTTCGCGCTATTGAAAAGCCGCGATCGTTCCATGCCGAACCGCCCATGCGGTGCCAGGAGCCATCGCACGTGCCGCTACGACACACCAGTCTGCTGTGCGAGTAGCAGCATCCTCCAAGCCTCCAGCAAAGGGAGCGGGAGGGCACGCGGCTCCGGCGCCCTGCGAGGCAGTTCCACGAGTTTATTTTCCGCCACCAGACTCCGGACTTTGCCATGGGCCCGTCGGACCAGGGGGCATACCTGGAGTATTACGGCCCGAACATCCAGTTCCTGAGCACGCGCTTCAACATGAAGCCGTATTATCAGATCGCGCTGTTGCGCCGTATCCGCTTTTGGAGTCAGGAAGGCTGTGCCGCGTCACCGCAGCGGGACTTTGCGGCGTGGCGGCATGGCTTCAACGGCACCAAATGCAGCTGGGGTGCAGTGTCCCAAAACAGCATTCTTGGACCGCGTGATCGTTTCCAACCGCGTTCGCACGTCTACCCCGTGCCGGCGAACATGGCGTTTATCACATTTAGTGGGGTTCTACCAAGCTGCGTGCCACATCGTTCGTAATGCGCCCACCAGAGGCCCGCCGGCCCGCGTCCCGGGAGATCTGCGGACCCATGCATATCGGGGGCCCCCAAACGGTGTGGTGACCACACCGTGTGGTGAGCCAGTGGGGATTCGGGGTCACCGCACGGTTTTGGGACTCGAGTCCCTCTCCGAGGATGTCTCGGGCGACAGGGGCCTCCAGGGTCCCAAAACCGTGCGGTGACGGACCGTGCGGTGAGGTCTTGGGGGATTTCGAGGTCACCGCACGGTCCGTCACCGCACCGTTTCAAAAGCACTGCGGTATTCACAGGCACGTCGCGTCGATCGGGTCGCAAGATTTTGTGGCGTTGGTCACAGGCACGTTGTGATTGTCGGGTCGCAGGCGATTGTTTTTCCATAGGCGCACTGCGATGCTTACGGGCATGTTGCGGCACCCCAGGCGCACCCCCGCCGTGGCGTGACCGGCGCGACGACAACCCCCCCCTCCCGTCTTTCACGCACGTGACTGGCCCGAATAAACGAAAGGGCTCTAGGAATGCACCCCGCGCGCGATCTTAGGTTAGGTCGGGCCGGTCCCCCTACAGGCGGATTTTGGACGAGAAATTAAACACATCTACAGCATAGTCCCAAATGGTCCAAACATGCTTAAAACATGTGCCCAGGCTATTTTTCTAACATGTGTTTTTTGCATATTTCCCCTGTAGAGGGACGCGCCCGACTTCAATCTAAGGCTGCGCGGTCCGGCCGCGGGGTGTGTTCTGGGGGGCTCGATTCCCCGCGGGCGGGGCCGGCCCCTGGACAGGCCAGGAAACACCGTTGGCACACCTGCCTCGCTGGCCTTTCCCCCCGAACCGCACGCGTCTTGGTGCAGTGCCGATCTCGACCACTTTTGGCTGGCGACGCGTTTCGGACTCCAGGTCCTCTTCTGGGCCAGAAGGCTGCAGTGTCCCACGCGCGTGCCGAGTTCCCCCCCGACCTGCACGCGTCTTGGTGTATTGCCGATCTCAACCACTCTTGGCTGGCGACGCGTTTCGGACTCTATAGGTCCTCTTCTGGGCCAAAAGGCTGCGGCGTCCCGCGCGCGCGCCGTGCAGCGCGCGAGCGCAAGGCAACGAGAGGTCAGGAGTGCGGGGGTGAAAAAGCCGCCGCACCCGCCTCGCTGGCCTGCCCCCCCGACCTGCACGCGTCTGCCGCTCCTGCGGCTGGCGCCGCGCGTCGCCCCGGTCGACGTCGGTGCGCGGGCGCCGACAGGCTCCGCACGTCGCAGTAGGAGCTGCATGAAAGCGGGCCTGTCCCTCCACAGGGGGAACACACAAAAGGAATCAAAATATCGTCAGGGGATTACTTTCCAAGTATGTTTCTGCATTTTTGAATGTTCTTGGGTTTTTGTTTGTGTTATTCTTCGTCCGAAATCCCTTTGTAGGGGGACACCCCCGACTTAAGAGTTGCACGGGTCAGCCAGGGGTTGCTTGCAGAAGACGTCGAAGCCGCCGGGGTTGCAGCGCCGTTCCCCTTTGTCCTCGCCGTCTCGCTCGTCGCAGGCCTGGCCCAAGCTTTCCACGATCATCGCTCCGCAGGTGGAGCGGTTGATGAGCTCTGGCCATTTCTCCAGGCCCCCCTCTCCCCGTTTCCACTGCGGCCCCCGGTGGACGTCGCCTCCCTCTGCGCAGAGCATCACGTGTTCAAAGCGAAGGCAAATGTTACACTGCTACAGTTCTTCAGTGGAGACACGATTTCGTAACGCCGGCGACGTTCAACCTTGCGATTTGACACGGGATTGTGTTTTTTGTTGGCGAAAGTAATTCCTTTTGAACGTAGAAGATATCAATTTTGTTGCTTTCGCCCGGAAAAGTTGCATCGTACAGCTGCAGAATTGGATTCTTCATGCCATTGGTGCAGCGCGGGGTCGACGTTGTGTCGGCGTTGGCGGTTGGCACAGTTGCAAACGCAACGCGTCTTTCCAGGTCTGGGCACCGTGAACACGGGATGTGTCTTAGACCGGGACCGTTTGGCTGTCTGATGTATGCCTCATTGGCCAAGGGACGTGGTCCGGAGAGGCAATTAAGAACCCCCCCTCTCCTGCGAACGTATAACGCACCAGCGCTCTGGAAGCGTTACCCTGGGACCTCGCAACCTGCTTTGAACGCAGACGAGTCTGCCCGCCGAAACAAGGAAACCGCCTGAAACATTCTTGCAATCTGGCCTCCGTGTGGATGTGAAACAAGCGCCAAGTTTGAGACATCCTCAGAAGTTGCTCTGAACGCAGACGAGTCTGCTGTGGGGCATTCCTATGGGGGAATCCTGCGGGGGAGTCCTATGAGGGAGTCCTATGGGGGAATCCTACAGATTCCCATTGGGATATCGCCCGAGCCAAGGCGCGGGAATCATTTATTTTCCTTTCTTTTGCGCGTTGCTAAAGAGATCGTTCCGCGAAAACCGCCCCCAATAACAATTGCGGTGCGGTGCTAACGATAACCCCGGGGGGGTTCTGAATTGCTTACTGCGGTTATTCGGGAGCGTTGGCCAGGAGCCTTATTTTTGTTGCGTTTCCACGGCCCCACCCCGTAGAGGCCGACGGGTTGCGTCGCGGGTGCTCGAGTCGCATTTCGCAGCGGGGCCCCCGACCACCACCAAGGACCCGGCGCGTGCCCCATGCTACCCTCGGGCCGGGCGAAAGGGGGGGATTGGGAAAGGGGGTGTTACGAAATTTGCTGCATGCAGCTGGTTTCGGCCTCACTGAGGGGCCCATTCCTCGATACATGGCTGCTTCCGGCGCCGGGAGGCGCCGGGAAAATCAGCTACGTGAGCTGATTCTCAAACCCCCCCTTTGCTATCCCCCCCTTTCGCCCGACCCGATACCCGCGTGCCGTTCTCCCTGGCCAGCTGACGCTGGGAAGCGTGGCCCGTGCCGGCAAACGGGGCGCGGGCCGTCGGAGCGGCCGCGGGCGGGCGGGTGCCCGCGGTTGTCGGCGGCGGCGCCTGGCGGCGGCGCCTGGAGGGCCCCTGGCTGCCAAGCGAGCCCCCAGGGGAGACACGCCGCGCGACGGCGCCGGCATCGCGGTCGCTCCACACAGCGCGGCAGGGAAGGGTGTGGACGTTCTGGCGCGCCTATTCTGAAGTCGCGGGCCCGCATCCTGGGAACTGCTGGAAGAGTTTTGCGGCACATGGGGGCCGCCTCAGCGTGGCCCCTCGCGCGCCGCCGGGGGGCGCCCAGGGGCGACTGGGATATTCCTGGGGCGATTTGGGATTACATTTCGTTCCCTGCGAGCTTGCTGGGCCATCTCTGAGCCTCTTGGGGACATCTGGGGGCCCTACTGGACAAGCTTGGGGCCGTCTCATCTCAGGGCTTCTTGGGCCCGTCTTAGCGCCTGCTGGGAGCACCTTGATGCCGCCCAGGGGACGCGCTCGCTGTGCCGCGCCGGCTTTTTGGCCTCGGGGAGGGGGCCCCAGGAATTTCGCGCGGCCATGGAGCTGCAGGGCGAGGCCATTTCGCAGGGCGAGATTGATTTTAAGTGTTCCTCGGCAGTGGGGGGTGCCGAGGGGGCGCGGTCTATGGGGCGTTGAATCATGCTTGGCTGCCAGGTGCGGCGCGTGCTCGGCGGCAACTACTGCCAGGCATCACCCCGGGATGCACTGGTCCCAGCGCGGCCCCGAAGAGGCCGATGCTTCTATCTGAGCGACGCAAGAAGATGCGTTCGATTGCGCGGACATTCACGCGCAGGTTGCCGCGCCAGCGCGGGCGTAGGCGCCCTCGTTTTCCACGCGGCGCGCCGCGCTGGCTGCCAGCGTGCACCGCCGCGCAAGGCTGCTCCGTCATCCCGCGCAGGACCAGTTTCTTCGCGTCGGCAATTTGTTTCCTTGTTTGGCCATATGGCAAACCAAGGACATTGCTATACACGGTGCGTCGCGTGCGAAAGCAGTGCAACATCAGCGCAATGAAACGCGACGCAATGCAGCGAACTGCACTGCAAGCGGGTGGAGTGAGGAGCACCTGTGCGAGCGGACAATCCAACTCGGGCGAGCTGGTCCGAAGGCGCTTCACGGTGCACCCACAGTTGAAGCCGAAGTTAAAGATGTTGTGCACACAAAAATTGAACGAGCCTTCCTTACAGGTTTGGCTGGCAGCCTCCCGCGAGCCGGAGCCCCCTACCCCCCCACCCCCCAGAGCAGCAGCCAGACAATTCGATTGTGCACCGTCATGCCTTTTTGGACTCCGAGCGCGCCTCGGCACTGCCATTTCCGTCGCCTCCTCGTCCGGGCCAACGACTGGGGCGTCGACGACAGCGACGGCGGCGTTGGCCGACGCGTCCAAGCTTGGCAGCGTCCAAGGCGAGACCTGCGAGGAGTCCGATATCCTTTGAGCCAGACGGGGGGAACTGCAATGGGGAGGAAATTTGAACAAAGCCGCCCTTGCGCAATGCAGATCGATAGGAACTGACGCAAAAACACTGCGATCTGGAGCCTTCCATGTTAATTCACGTTGTAACGCAGCAAGTAACGGTGCATACCCACATGAAAGTGCAAAGCAACGAAACAACTATACAACATCAACGGTGCGTGAACAGCCGTCACGCCACTGCACTGTACATGAACGGACAAGCCATTGTACGCATGCTCAGTTGCTACATTCTATGATTGCACAAAGCAGCACACATCAACCCAACAATGAGTCACACACTCGAGAAGACCACGCGCGATGCCAACACCATCATACGACGACTGCAATGTGTCAATACCTCGAACGTAACACGATAACACTCGATCAACATTGCAACCATACGCAACGCAACGTGCACGTCTGAAACATAATGACATGCACTGTCAAGATACCCCATGCTTTGCGATAATAAGCCATGTAACCCATTCGTCTCTGATCTAGTGTATATACATATATATATGTATATATATGTGTGTGTACCCTCCCCTCCCGCCATGGACACATGTCTTGGCGAAATGCCCAGCCAGATGCATGTGTCAATATGTACTGCAGTTCTGAGGATCGTCCCCCGTGCAGCTCTCTGCGAGGCCACGAAGCTGGTGAGGTGCGTGTCGGAATTCGCTCAGCGCCACATGCGAACCGTGTCACGGGGGCCTTCGGTGGAACACTTTGTGGTGCCAAACATTTGCGATGGGTGTGCAAACATGGGCGGGGAGCCGCATACGAACCTTGCCAGTGGGGCCTCCGGGGAATCATATGGTGCCTCGAAACGTGGGGGGGTGTGCCGAAGTGAGCGGGGGGCCGCGCGCGAACCGTGGCGCTTGGGCCTTCGGTGGTGCTCCACAATGTTGCCACGTAACGTTTGATGGGTGTGCCGAAGGGGGGGCGCATTCGAACCTTGCCACTGGGGTTTCCAGTGGAGCTCCCCATTGGGCCACGAACCGTGTGGAGGGTGTGCCGAAATGGGCGGGCAGCCGCATGCGAATGTTGCTGCTGGTTCTTGGTGGAGCTCCCTATGGGTCAGCGAAGCGTGTGAGTAGTGTGCCAAAACGGACGGGGAACCGCATGCAAACTTTGCCAAAGGGGGCTTCGGTGGAATTCCTTGTTGAGCCACGAAACGTGTGAGCAGCGTGCTGGAAAACGTGCAGGGAATCACATGCCAACCTCGACAGCCTCACGCGACTACCAGCGGAGCGCCGCGCAGAACAGGTAGGGAACCTCGAGAAGAACTCAGCGGAGTGCAACATCGCACACGAGGATTTTCAAGCAAGGATCCCCGAGGCAAAGCGTCAGCATCAGGGGCGCGCCGAAGGCGGGTATTCGCTCAGGGGAAAAGCATGGACCACCCACTCCCTCATTCACCGCCGATAGGGGCCCGATAGCCCACCCCGCCCAGTACGTGCGGTTTCGTTCTGGGGTGCACATCTCCGATCTATCGGCGATGCAACGCCGAATGTGGGTCGATGTCATCCCCCCTAAGTCAGCCCCCCCACCTATCGTATGCCCCAGGTTCCCGCATGGATGAGCATACAGGACAGATGAGCAGTACAACAGGCCTGCAGTGTGGAAGATCTGCACGGCATTGTCAGACACGTCCGTGGTGCACAATTGATCTACTAACGTCTGATCCGCACCCCCGTGGCTCCGCAGGGGCCGGCAGATTACAATACGACCAACTGGAAGGAGAGGTATGTCGTCCATTTCCACGGATTGAAGCCGAACGATTTCATGGAATTTTGGTTAGCAGGCACGTGTGAGCCTCTGAAGTGTTATTTGTTGTTCCGATTCGAGGGTTCTCCATTCCAGTGTGCTGGCATGCAGGATTGGGCGAAGGCGGCCTTCCACGAGGGCCCACAGGTCGTCGAGAATTATTGCAACCATACATTGCCTAAGTACTGGAAGCTCTGCTCTGACATCTTAAAGTCCTTGGCTCGAAAGACGTCGCCCGTGGGCAGGTCGTGCAAGACTTTGATCCAGGACGTCATTATAGCGAGCGGGTTGGACGTGGTCGATTTTCCTTATCTGGATTAGCTGCCTCCGCCCGCTCTCGCCGCATAGTGTGCTCACTCTGTGCGGAAATGCGCCCCGATTCCTCACTGACTGTCCGCCCCTTGCGCCCTCTGTCTCGCCCCTGCTCTAGAGCCACCTCCCGAGGAACAGAACACGGCATGAACAGAAATTTCCGGAGGTCCGCGCGGGTCTCTCGCATCGGCGTTCGAGCCCGCTGGCGGCTCCTCCGGCGTGGACCCTGGCGCGCTCCGTGCGCCAGGGATTGGGGGGCAGCGCCGATCCAAGAACACCGCGCGGACTTCCGAAAGCCTAGATGTCTGCCATCTGGTGTCCGCCCCGCTCCCTCACAGGATCCGGTGTCCAGGGCTCTTCGTGGTCCGATGTTCCACGACCGATGCCGCAGGTCCAGGGGGCAAGCGGCCTCTTGCAGGCATCGGAGCCCGCAGCTTGCGAGGGATCCAGCTGCGCATCAAGGTCTCCGAGACTTCGAGGGCCCGGAGCGGCATCGGCTTCCCACCGGCAGCATCGAGCAGTAATCTCTCCCTCTCTCTCTCTCTTTGTCTCTCTCTCTCTCTCTCTTTTCTCGCACTCTCTCTCTCTCTCTCTTTCTCTCTCTCTCTCTCTGTCTCTCCCTTTCTCTATGCATATACATACGCAGCTTTTTTTTTGTCTCTGCCTCACTCTGTCTCTCTCCCTCCTTCTCGCTTGGGCGCCCTGGATCCACGTCTCCCTCTGTGGCCCTCTCAACCAAGTGGAGGCCGCCGCATCGCTGCCTCCCCCCCCCTCTACCTCTCTCTCCCTCTCGCTCTTTCTCTCCCTCCATGCTGGACCTCCCGACGGCGACGAGGCTCAGAGCGCAGAACGAGTGCGCCCCCGAGTTCAGAACTTCCTCGGGGCTCGGGCCTTGAGCCGCTGTGGTCCTGGAGGTCTCCCTCTCGCGTTTTCTTTGTCCTCCCCACCCGCACCTCGCCAAACATCTTTCCGCCTCGTTCTTTGTCTCTGTGCCTCCGAGTGCCGTTGCAGCCTGTCTTGCCTCTGTCTCCATCTTCCCTCGTTCCCACTGTCGCTCCCTCTTCTCCCCTCGTTGGGGGGCCCTTTGCGCGGAGGAGGAGTCTTTTGGTCTCACCTGCACTGGCGTCCCCTAGGGTACCCTGTAACCCAGAGCGGCGCAAAGCTAATTGAGCCTCGCGGCGTGGGCCGCAGATTTGCCCCTCTCCCCGGTGGGCGGCTCGAGGGTACGAAGTCAAACGTATCTCGAGCCTCGCTCGGCGTGACGCATGAAGGTCGTAGTGGCTTCTCAGTACGATCTCAGGGGGCTGCACTGGAGCCGTACCGAGGCCTTCCTGTCAATCTTTGGGCCTCTCGGGGGGGCAGCACGCGGCTCATCGACGCCACCTCGGGGTCGCTTGCTCCGGTGTCGAGGCCAGCTTGGAGGCCCGAACATGGCCGAGTTGATCGCTTTACAGTCAAAAACCCTAATAAGGACGCGCGACTTTACTCAGGGTACCCTTGTGTCGTTGCTCTTCCTTGCTCTTGCGTCCTTGAGGTTTTCGTCGTCCGCCGCCCCAAAAATCCCAACTTCGGCTTCCAAGGGTCTTGCGTCCTTACCGCGCGTCCTTATTAGGTTTTTGACTGTACATCATCGAGCCCCAAAGCTCCTGACCCCATCCCTGGGACTGTTTTTTTTCGCGGGTCGAGCCCGTGGAGGCCCACCCGTGGAGCCGAAATCGGGGCAGAAACGCTGTGGATGCCTGCTGCTGCGGAGGACCAGCAGGTTGGCGGGAGGAGGATCGACCAGGGAAGGTGGAGGAGGAGGGCGACGACGAGAGCCCCCTCCCCCTCCAGAGCTACTGCCCCCTACAACCGCCGAGACCATCCTCCCTCCTCCCCTCCTCGGCCCTCCTCCCTCTTGCATTGGCGCCGGCGGTGACTTGGACGCCGGCACCGACGACAGCGCGCTCGCTGTCGTCGGTGACAGCGTCGACGTCGCAGGCGGCTTCGACGACGCCGTCGACCTGTGTCCCCTCGGTGGCGCCCGCAGGCGGCGCGCAGACGCCGCCCGGGGCCGCAGGCGCTGCCCTGCCCCCGGGAGGGGGCGGGCGTGCTGAGCCAGCGCGGCCGGCCTCGGCGGCTTACGACTCTGTTGGACGACGCCGAAGAAGTGGACGTCGGCGGCATCGACGACGACTTCGATGGCGACGACTCTGACGACGAAGTCGGCGACGACGTCGTCGACGACCACGACTGCGACGACGGCGCTGGCGATTTCGTTGACGACTGCGGCGGCGTTGTCGACGACGTTGTCGACACCGACGACCACGACAACGACGCCGACGAAGCCGACGTCGCCGACGACAATGACGGCGACAACGACAAGCACGACGACGCCGACGACGATGCCGTTGACGACGACGACGACGACCACAACCACCGTCGACGACGACGACAACGACGACGACGACGACGACGAGGACGACGACGACGGCGGCGGTGGCGGCGGCGGCGGTGTCGGCGCGGAGGCGGCGGCGCACACCTCGCCCTCACTGCCTGCGGCGCCAGCCTGACGCGCGCGGCGGCGGCGGCGCAGAAAGCGCCGCCGGGCCCTCCGCGGCCGGCGTCGTCGTCGTTGTCGTCGTCGTCGGCGGCGGCGCGTTCGGTAGCAAATATTCGGAGCGTTGCATGTTCTTGTCAGTCACGCGCGATAGCGTCCCGAAGTCGATGAGAACGCTCTGGTTTATGACCGATTCACTGTCGACTAGTGTCGATGCGCGAGAGCCAACAAGATGGTATGGGAGGCTCCACTGAGTTGCCGCAGAAGACGCGGTCGTCCTCGTGGTCGTCGTCTTGGTCGTGGCCGTGGTCGTCGTCGTGGTCGTCGTTTCCGTCTTCGTTTTTGTCGTCGTCGCCGTTGCAGTCGTCGTCGTCGTCGTCGTCGTCGTCGCAGTCGTGTTCGTCATTGTCGTCGTCGTCGTCGTCGGTGTCGTCGTCGTTGTCGTCGTCGTAGCAGTAGTAGTCGTCGACGTCGTGGTCGTTGTCGTGGTCGCGATTGTGGGCGTTGTGGTCTGTGTGGTTGTAGTTTTGGAACTTTCTCGGTAGTCTCGACAGCTCGGGGGGGTTCCATCAGCTGCGCCTCGTCGAGGGCGTTCCCGCGGTGCCAGAATCGTTCCGAAAAGCCGCTGAAGCGCCGAGTTATGGCCCGGATGCCAGGTGCTCTCCCAAAGTCAGAGGTTGGCGAGTCAGACCAGCGGTAAAGCGGGAAGCTGTGGTCCTTACCCACCTTGGGTATCTATTAGATCCATAATTTTCTTGCTTGCCGTATCCATTCTTGCCATGCTCGTACCCAGCTTGTCGGACTTTGCATTGGAGGTCGGTGCGCGAGCGGGGAGCGGGTCCACGCGAGCTTTGCCCACGCGGTTTTTTATATTGCGCGCGTCGGGCAAGCGGCCGTGACCTCCCCTCTTCGCCTCGATGCGCGCTCCGTGCCACACAACTTGGCCACGTAGCGCGGTGGTGGCAGCGTGTTCTAGGCCCGTTTGTGCTGGTTTGGGGGGGGTCCCCAGCCGCGATTTGGAAGCGCGGGCGGACGTCCGAGTCTGCCTGCCGTCGGCCTCGTGGGCTCGGTCCGTTGCGCGCTCGAGTCCGCTCTTGCTGTCGCGCGGCGCCTGGCAGCGGAGCGGGGCCGCTCCGTGAGATGGTGCTCTTGGCCGTGGTCTGAGGGCCACTCGTGGCAACGATTCTGCTGCGGCGGTCCGGGACTCGTCGTGAGGGCGTTGTCCGCGGTGGGGGGCGCTCCCCCTCCTCTCCTACCTCCTCCCTCCCCTGCCACTCCTCCCCCTTCTCTCCATCCTTCTCCTCCTCCCGCTCCTGCACTTCCTCCCCCTTGCCTTCTCCTGCCTCCCCATGGGCAGGCAACTGTTCCACGCGGTGCCCGCCAGGAAGCCATGCCAGAATCCTCCGTTTTCAGTTTTCCAGGGCGCAGAAGGGTGCCGAGCGTCAAACAACGGTATCCGTGCGCGCCTGTTGCAGGCCACGCCGCCGTTGCCTTACCTAGTAACGTTTCTGAACGGGAAGAATTCAGGCAGGCTTCGCGCCCAGGCTACAGAAACATAGTCGTTCTTGGGTCGTCCGCACGGGCGACTCGCATATCCGAAAGAGGTCCTCTCTGGGACGACGAGCCTTACCTGTTAGGGTTCCTCCAGCGGACAGAACATCCATACCCAGTGGTGTTCCCCCAGTAAGGGGAAAAAACTTTGCCGCTCGAGCCCCCCAGGGGCAGCCACGGGCCACTGCGGGGAGACAAGCTATCGATGTGCAAGCGTTGCGATGTAGTTTATTTCCGGGGTGGTCGCTGTGTTCTTGTTGTTGTTTCCATTGTTCGATCTTTCTCTCGAGGACCGTCGCGCTCTGCGGTTTGTTTGTGTCGTGTGCGTTGGTTTGTTTGTTGTCGTCGTCCCACCCGCGACCCACCCGCGACCCAGCCCGCGACCCACACCGAGACCCACCCCGCGACCCACCGCGCGACCCACCCCGCGACCCACCCGGGACCAAACCCGCGACCCACCCGCGACCCATCCCGCGACCCATCTTGCGACCCATCCGCGACCCATCCGCGACCCAGCCCGCGACCCACACCGCGACCCATCCTGCAACCCATCCGCGACCCACCCGCGACCCACCCGCGACCCACCCGCGACCCACCCGCGACCCACCCCGCGACCCATCCTGCGACCCATCCGCGACCCACCCGCGACCCAGCCCCGCGACCCCATCCTGCGACCCATCCCGCGACCCACCCGCGACCCAACCCGCGACCCATCATGCGACCCACCCGCGACCCATCCCGCGCCCCATCCCGCCATCCCGCGACCCACCCGCGACCCACTCGCGACCCACCCGCGACCCATTTGCGACCCACCCGCGGCCCACCCACATTAATCACTTCAACGGATAAATCGGCGCCTGCTGCGGGTTCGGTGTATAATTTGTGAAACTTGGGCGTCTGCGGCGGGCTTCTCAATAGTCTCGCAGACTGTCGACGTCCCCACCGCCACTTTACTCTTATCCGCATCTGCGGGGTGCTACGGCATGTACATGTCATCCTCACTCCTCTGTCCTCTCTGCTCGTCGCCAGATTCGTCCAGGTTATCCTTTTTCTTCTTCATCCTACCAGTCCTTCTTTCTCGCCCATTACCCCGGGCGCGCGTGGGCCAGCAAAAAACGCGCGCACTTCCTGCATCAGGGCTAGCCGTTTCAGGTCAAACATGTGGGTCATCGATTGGGCGAAATCCCATCCGCAGGCGCTCCCCGCACGCCGCCCTGCGGAGGAGGACGGGCAGAACGAGGAGTCACAAAAAAGGGAGGCCAGGGTGGGCGGTGAGGAGGACCGATGGGGTGCCACAAGGAGGGGGGAAGGGGGAGGAACACGAGGACGAGAACGATGTGTCAATTGGGGGGACTCATGCTTCAAGTGGGTCGGCGACCGGTCCAATGCTCGTCCGCAGATATGCAACCCGACGACGGAAAGGGGGCGCAGAGGAGGAGAAGGAGAAGGAGGAGGAGGAAGAAGAGGCTTGATAGGTGTTGTTTTGGGCACGTCGGCTGGATCTAAACTCACATTCGCAGGCCTTTGCAGCCAAGGTGAGTATGGGCAGGCGGAGCATGAGGGGGCCTTGGGAATGTTTATTGCATTAAGGCCGGCAAGAGAAGTAGGACGACGAGGACGAGGACGATTACGATGACATGCGAGAGGAGGAGGAGGAGGAGGAAAAGGAGGAGGACGGAGGAGGACGGAGGCAGTCTGTCCCCGAGTCGCCCAAGGAAACTCTTGAGAAGGACTTCGGTGGGTTGGGGAGCCCCCTTCCTGGTGCCTGCGCTCGGCCCTTTAAGCTTGACCACAAGACATGGGCAGGTGCCTCGACGGCTGTCTTGCCCTTGAATGTTCCGACGCTGCGAGGCTGGTCGTGCGTTGGAGGTGTCAAGGGTGCTCGAGACACGGTCACGTTCGGAAGCTCATGGCAAACTGAGAAGGTGCCCGTCAGAGCGCTGGGGCAAAGTCGGGATGGTCAGCAGCTTGCAGAGGGAAGCACCCACATGTTCTGGGGTCGCCGTTCCACGAGGACCCCGACTCGACGAGTCGTGCTTCATGCGAGGGCAGGCGTGGTGTTTCTGCCCAGAGCTAACGGCGTACATGTGTCTTCTGTCAAGGCGCATTGCTCTGGTGTCGGAATGCTTACGCGCCTCCACGCTCGCAGACGCTGCGGCAGCCGTCGAGGTTACCGCACATTGGAGGGATTGCTAAGGGCTTGGCTGAGCCATGCCCATCGCCCTCGCTTGGAACCTTTCGGGCGGCAACACCCTGCTGGCTGGTGCTGCCGCGCGGTCACCAGGCTGACGTCAAATCACTAGATTCTCGTAGTCGACTTCCGACGCATCCTTCTCCTGTCGCCTTCTTCGTATCTTCCCCCTAATCATCTTTGTTGTTGCCCTCCTTCTCCGATCCTCCTCATCCTCCCCCTCATCATCCTCATCATCATCATCATCATCATCATCATCATCATCAGCATCAGCATCAGCATCAGCATCAGCAGCATCAGCATCAGCATCAGCATCAGCATCAGCATCAGCATCAGCATCGTCATCATCAGCATCATCATCACTATCGGCAACATCAGCATCAATGTCATTATCAGCAGCACCACCACAATCACCATCAGCAGCATCATCACCACCATTACCACCACCAACACATAACCATCATCATCATCATCACCATCATCATCATCATCATCACCACCGCCATCGCCACCATCATCATCATCATCATCGTCATCATCATCATCAACATCATCACCATCATCATCAGCATCATTGTCATCGTCACCGTCATCATCATCGTCATCATCGTCGTAGTCATCATCAGCATCATCATTATCAGCATCATCGTTATCATCAGCATCATCAACACCAGCTTCGTTATCATCATCCGCATCATTATCAGATTCGTCATGGTCATCATCACCTGCATCATAATCAGCATCGTTATCAAAATCATGTTCACAATCATACTCACCAACATCAGCAGCATCATCATCACCATCATCACCATCATCCTCATCGTCATCACCGTCATCATCAGTCTTATTATCACCATCAACGTCGCCATCATTATCAGCAGCAGCGGAAGTAACAGCATGAACGTCATATCCTCGCCTCCCTCTTCTCGCTCCTCTTCCCTCTCCTCGCCGTCTCTTGCTGACTCAGGCCGCGGCGTTGTACACATGCTTCGCGGTCGGCGTTCTCGTCGTTTACAGGAGAGCTTGCCGGGCCCGCCGGCGCGGCGCGCCGCGCCACGAGGGCGGAGGACGGATGCGGGGATGGATGGATGGATGGAGTCCTCCCAGCGAGGCAGCATTGCGGGGGGGCGCGGGCACGGCCCCCTTTGGAAGAGGGCAGCGGGGCTGAGGGACGGCGACTGCCGCGAGGAGGGAGGAGGGAGGGGGGGGAGGAGGAAGGAGGAAGGAGGAGTGCGAGCGGAGTACGAGCGGCACAAACGCGTGACGGGCCGCACGCGACCTTCCTGCCCTTGCTCCACGTGTGACTCGGGCCGTTCCTGAGCCAAACATTGCGGGGTGGTAGCCGGAGACGTCTCCGTCTGTACCCACTGCCGTCTCGCACGAGCTGATCGTTGCATTGTAGCTGAGATGTGTCCTTCAAGAGCCCCAAACACAAATTCTTGAGCAGCGACAGCAATGCTGCCATTTCCCCCGCTCCTGCCGCTCTCGCGCGCGTTTCACCAAACGTGGTAGCTAATCACATCGGGTTCCAATATGTATGCGAAGGCCTCACGGCCAGTGCCGCCGACCCTGAATGGCGACGACGACGACGACGACGACGACGACGACGACGACGACGACGACGACGACGACGACGACTGCTCTCGGGGGCCTCTTGGGAGGCTCTTGGGGGCCTCTTGGGAGCCTCGTGGGGGCCTCTTGGGCCTTCCTGGGGGTCTCTTGGTGGCCTCTTGGGGCCTCTTGGGGGGCTTCTTAGGGGCCTCTAGGAGCCTCCTGGGAGCTTCTCATGGCGAGGGCTCGAAGTGACCGTTCGGGTCCCCCGTCTGGGCTCCCTCTCGGAACCGTCTTGGGGGCCTTTTCGGCTGTTTTGGAGAGTCAATCGGAACAACCTCTTCCACACGCCGACAGGGTCAGCGGATTCTCCTTTGTTTAGAGCAACGCGACCGTAGGATGTTGGGCCCAATCGTCGCGTTCCACATCTACAGCCGGGCCGACGTATAAGGTCGAGGCCGGTTCGGGGAGGGTACCCCCAATGTTCTTCGTGTCTGATGGATGTTCTTGTGCATCCTTGGGGGGGGGTACCCTCGGATGTTCTGGTTGTTGTGGCCGACGGAGGTTCTCATGTTCTTGAGGGGTGTTCTTCTGGCCGAAGTCCGACTGTATTGAGTGCCAGAGGGCTTCCCATCGGGCTGTAATTTCGCCTTTCGCTTTTCCGCAGAATGGCGCCGGAGCCGCATGCCGCAGTGGCGGGACCGCCTACCGCTCGGCTTCATCGCATGCCCTGGTCCCGTCGCTGTAGCTGATGGCATCGAGCTCTATGTTCGCCCGCCCCCATTCTTCGAGTAGCGACAGAGCCTGCTGCCCCTGCTCGCCGCTTTCGCACACGCTGTGCCCGGCGCTGTGGTTGACCAGCTCGGGCTCCAGCTTCGCTTCCTGCCTCTCGCCGAGCGGTACCTGAGAGCCGCCTGCCGCATGCTGGCCGCTGGCGCACACCCGCGTCACAGCGCCGCGGGTGATCGCGTCGGGTTTTGCTCTCGCCTCTCGCTTCTCTCAGGAGGGAACAAACACACACAGACACAATGAATCGTCGATTCCCCAGAAAATATGGGAAAATATGGGAAGTGGGGGGGGAGACAAAAACCCAGAAAATATATGAACATATGCGGTTTTCTGCTATTTGTGTGTATTTACTTGTGTGTTCCAGGGCCGCTTCAGCAGAGTGGTGTCGGAGCCCGTTGCCGCTCGCCCTTCTGCCCCGGCCCGATCCCATTGTGCCATCGCCTGCCCTTTTCGCGCGCCTCTGCCCGAGCGCTTTGGCTGATGACCGTGCGCTGCCCTTCCTCCCGCCGTTTGCCACCGCCGCGCCCCCCATTCAGTCACTCTCTGGTCCCTGCAGTCCGGCTGGGGTCATGGGCTTGTTTTCCACCACCACCACCAGAAGTTGGAGGGGGGAAGGAGGTGGAGGATGAGGAGGAGGACGACGAGGACGAGGCGGAGGAGGAGGAGGAGGAGAAAAAGGGACAAAGCCGAGCCCAATGTCATCAACCGCAGCGCTCGGACCACGGAGCGCGAGGACGGCACACGGAGGCAGCAGGCAGCCAAGGGGCAGGCTCGTGCGGGAATACGAGAGCCGACCGACGACCCTAAGGTGGGCTTGTTTTCCACCACCACCACCACCATGAGTAAGAGGGGGAGGTCCTCCCCCTCCTCCCCCTCCTCCTCCTCCCTCCCTCCTCCTCCCCTCCTCCTCCTCCTCCTCCTCCTCCTCCTCCTCCTCCTCCTCCTCCTCCTCCTCCTCCCTCTCTTCCTCCACCTCCTCCTCCTCCTCCGCCTCCTCCTCCTCGCAGTCCCCAGTCCCAGAGCTGTAGCTGAAGATGTCGTGGCTTCGCCTCCTGCTTCTCGCACATGGCGACGTCAGGCTGCGGATTCGCCACCGCCGTGCCCAGAGCCCGGCGCCGAAGCTGATGACATTGGGTTCGTCCTTTGGCGGACTTTCCGCGCGTCGCTGATCCCAACACTGTCGCTGACGACCGTGGGGCTCTGCTTCGCCTTGCATCTCGCAGAGTAGCGACCGAAGTGTCTGCCACCACTCGGCTCGTGCGCCCTGGCGCCGGGCTCCCGTCGGAGAGCAGGGGACATTGGACGCCAGAGTCCGTCGGGTGATCTCGTTCCGTACCTGGTCTCGTCGTGGCCATTCGGGCTGTTGGGCAGGGGAATGGGGTCCTGAGGGTGCACCACATGCTCACGCCGTCGGGCTTCTTGAGGAGACCTTCGATTGCGCACCAACCCTCTTGATGGTACGACACGCCCATCATGTTATGCGCAATCGGATAAGGGGAGCTGCGTGCATAGGAGGAGGAGGAGGAGGAGGAGGAGGAGGAGGAGGAGGAGGAGGAGGTGGCGGGTGAGCAGTTGGACGAGCAGTAGGACGAGGACGAGGACGAACAGCAGCAACAGGACATGGCGTGGCAGGAGTGGGAGGAGCAGGAGGACCAGGGGGAAGGAGAGGAGAGGCGAGGAGGGGGGCGACGAGAATGAAAGGGACCTCGGATCCAGGGCGGATGGCCAGCGGTGGGGCGGGGACGCCAGGCTGCACGGCGGGAGCAGGGCGCCGATCCGACAATGGGGCCCACGCTGCCGCGGGAGCACCGTGTGCAACACACGGGCAGCGATCGGACTGTGAAGACCCACCTGGGAAACACAGTCGGCCCAATCTCGCGTGTAAAAAGCAGCGAGCGGAGGGGGGGGGGCAGGGATCTGCCGTGCAGGCTCAGGGGAGAGAGCGGTGAGAGAGACGGGAGGGGAGGGGAATGGGGGAGTCAGAAAGGGAGTTGCTGGAGGAGCAGGAGGAGCAGGGGGGGGAGAAGGACAGCGACGACAAGGTGCACGGTTTGGCCTCCTTCGCCTCATGTCCTTCGGCGTTCGCGTCGGAGGAGGAGGCGGGGGAGGAGGCGGAGGTGGAGGACGGGGTGGGCGCGAGAGTAGGTAAGGTGTGAGGACGAGAGCGAGTAGATGAGGAGAAGGAGGATAGATCGATGAAGAATGACAACGAGGAGGTCCCCCCATCCCCCCTGCCATCCCCTTCCCTATTGCTGGCGAGGACCCTCACCACAAAGGCTACTGGCGAGTATGATTATATCCTTACGCTGTCGGCCGCTCTGCAGACGCTCGCTTTCGGCCTGCTGGATTTTGACACCAAGAGCAACGTAGGCCGAGGGTGGGAGATGATACCTGTTGGGTGTTGACCACGATGATGGGAGAGCAGGGACGGACGGCGGCGGAGGGCGAGGTGGAGTGGGAGGGGGTTGGGAGCTGAGGGAAGACGAGGAAGGCGGCTGACGGATGAGCCCTCTTCCTCTTCCGCCACCTCCCTTTCCTCCTCCCCCTCCTCCTCGAGGACTGAGGAGGTGAACGGTGGCGGAGGGGGGTGAGGTGGCTGAGGCAGGGCGGGGGCAGAAAGGATGCGACGGAGGAGGGAGGGCAGGGAGAGGTAGGGAGGCAGGATGCAGAGGAAGGGGGCGGTCGGGTCTTGGCAACCAAGCATTCGTGAAGGGATCGGATGGCGGATGAGGAGGGATGAGGGCAGGTAGTGAGTGGGATGCGCGCCCATCTTTGTTCTCGTCGCTTCTCTCACTCCGCCGGCCCATACTGCGCGCCCCGACCTGATCGTGGACAAGACGCTTGTTTGGGAGGCTGCTTGGGGTCTCTTGGAATGCCCCTCGGGCGCCTCTTGGCGGTATTTCTGGGACCTCCTGGAGCCTCTTGGGGGCCTCTTGTTCTTTGGCCTTTGGCCCATGCCGCCACCGTGCCTGGGGTGTGGTTCAGCGGACTCGTGTATGTCTCTTTGGGCCTCTTCGGAGCGCTCTCTGGGATGCCTCCCTGGGGCAGTTTTGAGGCCGCGTGGACGCTTAGTTGGAGCCTCGTTGGGTTTCCTGGGGACCTCTTGTGGGCTTCTTGGGCGACGCTGGGGGGGCCTCTCTCGTGGGGCCTCCTGGGGCCATGGGGCGTTCAGCTGGAAATGTCTTCTCGTGTTCCTTCTCCGGGGCCCCTCTTGAGTGAAGTCGGGCACGTCCCTCTACAGGAGGAATTGTCAAAAATATTCAAAAATAGTCTGGGAACGATGTTTTAAACATGTTCTGACTATTTGGGAGCATTCTTTGCGTAGTTTTTATTGTTCGTCCAAAATCCGCCTGCAGGGGGACAGGCCCGACCTAGCTCTTGGGACGTTCTCGGGGCATTTTTGGGGGCCGTCTTGGATGCCTCTCGGACTCTTGTGCCGTCTGGGTGCCCTGCTGTCGGCCTCGTGGGTCGTCTCGAGGCGATATTCGGGACCTTTTGGGCCGTCTTGGAGCGTCGGGAGGCTGGAAAGGCAGACACGCGAACCTCATTCCAGAAGCTACGGGAAATCTATGGATCTTGCGTCTTGGGGCCCTCTGGGAGTGTTTCTGGGAGCTTCTTGGGACGTCTTGGAGGCGTCTTAGGCCGTCTGGAGGCAATTTTGGGCGTCTTGAAGGGACAAGCTCGACTTAACCCTTGGGAGCCTTCAACCCCTCCATTCACCCCTCAGATCTGCATGAGCCTTGGGGCGCTCTTCTTTTGTGCTGAAGGCACCGTGGCGGATGTGCGCATGTGCCCGTTCGTCCTCATGCTGGATGAATTAGATACTTGTAGAGCGAGTGTTGGAGAGAGGGAGATATGCAAAGATAAAAAAATACATCAAGGATTGGGCATGCGGTGTGGAGGAGCAAAGAGGGATGAGGCGGACGAGGCAGACGAGGTGGAGACAGGCTAGACTTACCTGTCTGCAAGCATTCCGCCCGTCCGTGTGGCACTCCCCTTTTTCGCGCGCATCTACCCTCGCATTCCTTCCGCGCGTTCCCCTCTTCTGCCTCTCCTTCCCTTTCCTCCCCTCCCTACCTCCCTCCCGTCCCTCTTGCCCCCCGCCTCTCTCGCCTCCCCCTGGCCATTCTCTTCCCCCACTCGCCCCCGCTGGGACGGACGAGGAGGAGGAGGAGGGGGGAGATAAGACGGACAGCGTGGACGAGGACGAGGAGGCGGTGGACGAGGGTGAGCAGGAAGAGGAGGAGGAGGAGGAGGAGGAGGAGGAGGACGACGACGACGGCGTCCACGTCGACGACGTTGTCGTCGCCCCCCCCCCCCCCCGTCATCCCGCCCACCACTGCCTTTAGGCGAGGGGCTCAGCGAGAAGACGCTCGTGGCTTTCCTGCTCGCCCACATGGCCAGGCGGGCGCCGCCGTTGCTCGCACGCTCGTCGTTGTCGGTTGTCGGTCGGCGTGGTCGTCGGTCGTTGTCATCGCCGTCCCCCCAGTGCGCGGTCGTTTGATTCAGCCGTGGCTCATTGGACTGATGGTCCTCCTCATCGTCATGTTCGTCCACCTCCTCCTCCTCCTCGTCCTCCTCGTCGCCCCCATCCTCTTCATATTCTTCCGCTTCGTCGTGCCCCATCTGTTTATTATTGACGCTCTTATTCTCCTCTCGTCCTTACTCGATTCGAGGTGTCATTCCTGCCGCGTCGGCAAATCACTCGACGTCAACGGCCACTGAGTCCAGCTAGCTTCTTGGCAAACTTCGGTGAACAGGGCTGACATTCTGCAAAGGTGGTACTGGTCTAACCAACGCCGGTGACGCATTCGACCTCCTCCAGCCCGCCGCCGCCTTTTGCGCGCGCCTGTGCGGGGACGAGATGATGCCCGAAAAATGACGGGGCCATCGGGATTTGGGGGTCGCGCTGAGACTCCACATCTGAATGCCGACGTGGTCATGCTCATGCTGTGCACGCAGCTGGCGATTGTAGCTCCCGTCTGCGGGTGGGAGAACACGAAGTAACAGACCGTGTTGACCGCCTTGACTTTGGCTCTTTGGACCCCGAGGTGCGCATCAGTGGCAGGCGGTGCGCATTCGCGCGCTCCACGCCCCAGACTGCTGGGCTAAGCAAAGAAGGCCACGTCTGAAATTCGCCCACAAGCAATGCGACACTCTCGGGCACGAATGCTAAGCTCGCTTGAAAGCCAAGGGTAAAACATGCTTCGGCGAGCCAAGACCCCTGGCGACATCGGCGAACCGACGACTACGAACGACGACGGCCGACGGCCGACGACGACAAGCGACGACGACGGCGACAACAATCCCTGGGAGAAAGAATGCACGACTCTTTCGACGCAGGGAGCGCTGCTCTCCGCCCCAGATGTGGACGGGGAGGGGAGCAGCATAAAATCAGCAGGGGAAAGAAACACACAGACACAATGAATCGTCGATTCCCCAGAAAATACGGGGAAAATATGGGGATTGGGGGAAAGACGAAAACCCAGAAAATATGGGAAAATATGGGGAATCTAATCATTTGTGTGTATTCATTGGTGGGTCCTGGGGCCCCTTCAAGACAGGAGGAGAGGCCGGAGGGGGGGTGGAGGGCCTCTGCGCCCTCGGGGGCCCGCGCTGCCCCGTGTGATGCGGACCCCCGTCGAGGTGCCTTTTCGCGCTCTGCGTGCGCCGCAGTCGGGATGCCTTCTCCAGCGGAGGCGCGGCGGGCGCGGCAGCGCGGCAGCGCCACGGGGCCTCGACGAGGCGCTCGGTCCCCGGCGGGCAGTGCGCGGCGCCCCCCCCTGGCGGCGCGAGAGCCCCTCGGCGCGGCGGCGTGCGCTCACTGGCCCGTGCTTCCGCGGGCCGCCCTGGGGCGCCGAGAAGGCCTTCTCCTTCTCGTTTCCCCCCCTCGCTCGCCGCCAAAAGACGCCGAAGCCAGAGGGGGCTCCGTGCTTCGCGCCGCTCCGTGCGCCGCCGAGGGGGGGGATTGCGTGCGCCGCCGAGGGCCCCGCCGTGGCTGGGAGCCTCGGCCAGGAGAGCCCCCTGCGCTCTCCAGGTGCAGTGGAAGTCCGTACTGAACTGGAGCCTGTCCCCCTACCGACGGAATGTTCAGAAATACTCAAACATTAGTCTGGGGACGATGTTTTGACCATTCTTGGTTATCTGTCTGATGTTTTCGAGGTATTTTTCATTTTTCGTCCAAAATCCGCCTGGGACGCGCCCGAACTAAGCACATATCAAGAAACACCGTGCTTGCCTCCAGGGTACCCTGGGTTTCTTCGGTTTCGATGGTTTTTCTTATGTGGAAGGCGTGGCGTTCCCGCACCAGAAATCAGTGGACGTCCTGGGGTCGCAGGGTTGGGTTTCTTGTGGGAGGTTTCTTGTGGTCGAGCTCCTACTGTAGCGTCGCTTCCGGTAGCACGATGACTGCGATGCTTCTTCGCGCATGCTCGTCTTTTGAGCTGCGTCCTGCCGCCCGCCCTCTCCAGGGAAGCCGCCCTCCTGGGCCAGAGAACGGTCGATCCGAACCCGTCAGTCGTTGATTGATCGTAGTGGCCCGTTGCCCAGGGACGCGTTCTGGGTCTTTTCCGGCACCTCTGGTCCTGGAGTTGGCCGACCGATCATGAATCTTCCAGAGAGGCGCCACCGGGAATCGTTTGTCCAGTTGCATTTCCGCGTTGGGGGCCTGGTGCCGTGGGGTGAGGGAGGGGGGAGGGGGGCACAGACCTCCTCACTTGAGTGCCTGAGTTTCGCATCTCGCTTTCTTGGAGGGCAAATCACGCAGGGATTTGCTCAAGCAATTTGGCCGCATCATCATTATCATGCCCCTCCCTCCTCTTTGCCCTTCTCCTCCTTCTCCTCCTGCTCCCATCCTCCTCCTCCTCCTCCTCCTCCTCCTCCTCCTCCTCGTTTGCCTTCTTCTGTTCCGCCTCGCCCTCGCCCGCGTCCCCGTCGTCCTCTCTCCTCTCCCCTTTTGCGCGGCACCGACACTGATCAAACGACCGCTGCGTCAACCTCCTCTCCCTCCTCGAAGCTCGAAGCTCCGGACAAGCTCGCGTCGAGGCGCCGGTGCCCTCGACCCCCCAGCCCCGCAAACTTTCGCGGGCTGGGGGGGGGGTTGAACGAGGGCCGCCTCCTTGGCATCGCTCGGACGTGTGCATTTTTCCTTCGGCGAGGGCAATCGAGGAGCATCCTTGATCACTTGGCGAAAAAACCACGCACGAAACCGAACAAAAACACAGGGAATAGACGTCCGAGCGATGGCCAGCCTGCGGCCGCTGGCGGGGCCGTCGAACGGGGAGGAGACGGCACGAGGGGGGACCGAAACGAGGGGCGAGCGGGGCACCGAGCGACGAAGGCTCCTCCTCCTCGTTCTCCTTCTCTCCTCCTCCTCTCGCCTCCGCGCGAGGACGAGCACGACCTTCACCGGCGAGGGCTACATCCCCGAGGTCGGGGCCTTTCGCGGGGGGCGGGGCCTCTCGCGGGGGGGTGGGGCGGGAGGAGCGCAGGGACGGAGGAAGGCGCGGGCAGGGGTGCGTGGAGAAGGCCGTCCGGGATCCTGGACAGGAGGAGGTCTTGCGGGCCCAGGACTGGGACAAATCCCTCCAGAGCGTTCCGGAACGCTCTCAGAGCGCTCCCCGGAGCGCTCTGGACAGGCCGCGGCGCCCGATACGTCCTCCAGAGCCGCCAGATCTCAGAGATCTCCGATTGTGGAGGCCTTATGGCTGGTGCCGCTGGCCCTGAAGGGGGACGACGACGACCACGACGACGACGACGACGACGACGACGACGACGACAACGACGACGACGACCAGAGCTGCCAGATCTCTCAGAGATCCCCGATTTGTCTCGGTTCCTTTTTGTCGAGGTCCTGGCTGTGTCTTGCAGAGGAAGAGGCTAAGAATCGGAAATTGGAGGGCGCAGGAGGAGGAGGGGGCTGGGAGGACAACACCGCCGACGTATACTTGTACCAGCTGCTAGAGGTTGCTGGCGTGGCCTTCCTGGCGCACAAGTTGAACAAGGTGAAGGCCGCGAGGTCTGGCATTGGCGGTCTCCCCTTCCCCTCTCGGGGAGCGGGTGGAGGATCGAGGGGCCTCCGTCAGCACCACACTATCTCGCCACAGCCAGAGGAGGGGATCCAGCGTTACGGTGTTATCAGGGGCAAAATTGGGGGACATCAGGGGTGGAGCATCAAGCTGGAATCGGCGACACACTGGTGATAGATCGTCGACAGGCCCCCAAAAGCGAATCCACGTTTCTGGGCGGGGTGAGCTATCGGACCCCTATCGGCAATCAACGGGCGATTGGGGGTCCATCCCCCCCTGAGCCTATCCCCCACCTGCACGTTGCCCTTCATGTTACGGAGGGAGAGAGGGAGGACGAGGCAGCTCAACGCTGCGACGAGGTAGTTCCCGTCCGTCCTCTCCGAAACGGGTTGGCTGAGATCCAGTCGTGGCAGCGGTGCGCACCTCCCAGAGGTCGAGTGTGATCGGCCGACTGTGTGCGGGAGTCTTGGGCCATGCGAACGAAAGGGCGATGGAGGCCATCTCGTCCAGCTTCGCCATCGCCGCGACACTCTAGGGGATCGAGGCACTTGCGCGTGATGTTCAGTTTCTCATTTGGGCCTCAGATGTATCTGGAGACGTCCAGAGAGGAGTTCCTCTCTGCCCCACTGCAACCTTCTGCTGGATGTTGCCCTGCCTCCCCATCCTCCTCCTTCATCCTCGACCCTCTCCATCTTCTGCTCCCCCTCCGCCCCCGTGTGTCGACCCAGACAGAAGGGCCTCGATGCCTGCTGAGAAGCCTTGGTCGCCGCGACACTTCAGGAGATCTGCCTCGGAACGCACCTTGCCACGACTGGACCTCAGACACCCCGCGCCGGAGAGGGACGGCCGGGAACTGCCTCGTCGCAAAGTCCACTCGCCTCGCTGTCTCCCCTCCCTCCCTCCCTCCCCTCTCCCTCCCTCCCCTGTCCCTCCCTCCCTCCCTCCCTCCCTCCCTCCACTTGCCTCGTTGTCTTCCCGCGCTCCCTCCCTCCCCATCTCCCTGCGCAAACACGCAGGGCAACGCGCTGAGGGGGAGATGGGCTCAGGGGGGATGCATCGACCCCCCGCTCGCCCGTTGAGCGCCGACAGGGGCCGACGGCCCACCCCGCCCAGACCCGCGCGGGGCCCCTCGGGAGGCCCCCCCCCCCCGCCTGCTCGGAAGGCCGCCCTCCTCGCCCCCCCCCCCCCTTGCGCGCCGCTCGTGGGAGGGGGAGGAGGGGGAGGAGGGGAAGGAGGGGAAGGAGGGGAGGGGGAGGAGGAGGAGGAGGAGGAGGAGGAGGAGGAGGAGGAGGAGGAGGACGAGGACGAGGAGGAGGAGGGGCCCCGTGCCCATCGAGGGCTTCTCAGAAGGGCCCCAGCTGGGCCTGCTCGGAAGGCGCCTTGCTCGCCCCCGCCCCCCGTGCGCGCCGCTCTCGGGGGCCCAGGGCCGATCGGGGGCCTCTCAGAAGGGCCGCAGCCGGGCCTTCTCAGAAGGCCGCCCTGCTCGCGCCCCCCCCCCCCATCCGCTCTTGCGCGCCGCCAAGATGCCGACATCGGGAAGGGGGCGCCCTGGGGGCGGGAGCACGGTGCGACGCCCCACTGTTGCTTGGAGCATGGCTGGGAGCTCTGTGAGAGCTGGGCTCAGTCCATGGGCTGTCGCCCTCCTCGCGCCACCCCTGCTTGCGCGCCGCCAAGATCAGGGAGGGGGCGAATTGGAGGGGGGCGTGGACGCTGGGGACGAATACCGACGGCAGGGCCGGCCCGTTTTGGACGGGATTCGTTGTCAGCGCCGCCGCGGACGCTGCCCAACAGCGGTCGCTGTCGGCTTGGAGCACCGTGTGCAGCGCGCTCACCCCCTCCGAAGACAAGGAGCCACCCCTCCTCAGCTTACAGCGCTTACTTCTCGTTTTGGTTCCTCCCTCCTATGTGTCATCCCCACCCCTCGCTTCCCTTGCCTACTTCTGTCTCCTCCCCCCTCGCTGCATTCACGTTCTTATTCTTCCCTCACTCTGGCTCCCTTCTCCTCCACTGCAGAATCAAGGGGAAGTGTCACCTTCAAGCCCCTCCTCTGGACGCACCCAAAGGAAAGGCTGCTATAAGTCCCACGCATTTCCAGGTGACCCGAAACCTTCCTCCCCACACATCCTCCTCCACCCCATATCCCCCCTTCCGCCTCCCTCTTGCCCTTCCCAGCCCTCGATCTCCGAGGTTTTCTTCCACAGAGCTCCCCTTTTGGGCTCCGTGCCCTCGTCGACGCTCGACTCCTGCGAGCGGAGCTAACGAATGGGAAGGGGGGGTCAGCAGGCTGCCTGACGTGGCGCGAGCGCGCCCACCTTGTCTCCCCCCCCCTCCGCGCCATGCAACGGAGCTCCCGGACCTCCGCCAGGCCCCCCGTCGGTCCTGGCCCGGCCAGGGGGGGGAAGGTTCTGCGGCCCCCGCCCGCTGCCGCTCGCCGTGGCACCTCGTCACGGGCGTCTCTGGAGCCAGGCGACGGCTCGCAAGCCCGCGGCTGCTCCAACGGAGCTCCGGGACATGTTTTTTTTCCTTCGGTGAGCAGCACATCTGCAGTCAAAAACCCTAATAAGGACGCGCGACTTTGCTCAGGGTACCCTTGCGTCCTTGCTCTTCTTTGCTCTTGCGTCCTTGGGGTTGTCGTCGTCCGCCGCCCCAAAAATCCCAACTTCGGTTTCCAAGGGTCTTGTGTCCTTACCGCGCGTCCTTATTAGGGCTTTTGACTGTACTATTTAGTGCGTTGAGCTTGATTCCTTCGGGAAGACCGTTTTAGCAGCCACGGATTTGCCAGCCCTCGCCCAGCCTCCAGACTTCACCAAAACCTTCTTTGCTGTCCGAGCAGGTGGGGTCGGATGATCGCGCCGCATCGCCGATGCATCCGCGACGCGGCTCGATGTGGAATCAGAGGGTGCTTGACGCACCTGGGCACCCTGAGTTCTGGGAGCACACACTTCGTCTCCGCCTCGACAGTCGGCCCGAGACGCCGCGGGTCCTGTGTCCCGATCCTCTCCGATGGATCCGCCTGCGCCTCTTGGTCCCTGCCTCCTCTCCGATGGGCGGCGGCGGCCGCGGCGAAGACGACACCGAGGATAGCGACGGCGCCGAGGGTACTGGCGACCCGGGTGGCCGGGCAGGTCCATGAACCAGATCGCCCAGGGCGTGGAGCGATGGAGCCTAGGCGAGAACCTTTGATCGGGAGGGGAGAGGAGCAGGGGGAGCGTCGTCGTCAGGAACGAGGGCGATCCACGAGGAGGAGGGGGAGGGGAAAAGTGAGGGGGGAGAGAGCAACACGAGGGCGCGAGCGAGAAGGATCAGGGTTGGAGTAAGGATACGGGCGAGGACGATGCGGGGAGGAAGGGCCGAGGACAAGGAGGAAGGGCACGGGGATCATGATCATGGTGATGCCGATGATAAAGACGACGATGAAGATGTTGGTCATGCTGGCGACGACGACGACGATGGCGACGACGATGGCGATGACGATGATGGTGTTGATGATGGTTATGGTGATGGTGGTGGTAGTGGTGATGATGATGCTGATGGTGGTGGTGATGGTGGTGGTAGTGGTGATGATGTTGGTGGTGATGGTGATGGTGATGGTGATGGTGCTGGTGCTGGTGCCGGTGCTGGTGCTGGTGATGGTCGTGGTGGTGAGAAGGAGGATTAGCATGATGAGGATGAGGACGATGATGAGAGGAGGAGAAGGAGGAGAAGGAGGATCAGGATGATGATGTTTGTGCCCCACGGAAATGATCTGGCCTTTGCATCCGCTTCTTCCGCTCTGCAGGTTTTCTGGTTCAGGAGTGAAGGCAGGTCTTCGGCTTTCTGCTGGCCATTCTCTCAGCCCTGCGAGAGTGGCCCTCTTCCGATACCTGGCCTCCTGTCGCCTGTGGATTGCCATCGGAGGGGCCTCCGTCCCAGCTTGCCGTGACGGGCGAGTGCTTCTTGCTGGCCGTGCGGGGGAGTCGCCCCTCGTAGTGCGTGCGCCAGTGTGACTGCCACGTGATTCCACTGGCGGCGGAGGCAGGTGGGGCGGCCTGTGCCTGTCCGTCCTCGCCGTGTCGTGTTGGCGGGCGCCTTCCTCTCTGGTGTGACTGTCGGGCGCGGCGTGATCCAGTCCACGACGTCCGCGCGTGTTCGCCGACTGCCCCACCACGGACAGTGACAATGGCCACGCCCGCGGGGGTTCAGCCCCTGGGGGTCGTTGTGCTGGTCCTCGTGGTACCTCTTTGGCGCGGGCGAGGCGGCAGTGGGATGTCCTGAGCGGATTTCGCTGGCCCGCCTCGTGTACACCAGCTGGGTCGTCTCTTCGCGGGACCTCGACATCTTCGGAGATAGTTTGGGCGAAGGTGACGGGAGCCAGAAGTTCGGCACGGGAGGTGCGGTGCCTGCCACGGTTTGGAGCTCGCCGGTGTTCCTCCCCATCTGCTTCACGTTCGGGAGGGATCCCCAGTACTACATGGACGTTGGCGAGACGGTGCTGGCACATATGGGCGAGTGGCTCCACTTCACCATCGACAGGTGCCCGTTCCCGCTGACGAACGACACGGTGCTGGGGGATGGTCTCGAAGGCTCAGCGGAACCTGCGGGACCAGTGGCGGCGGAGGCGTCGTGCATCCTGTTCGCAGAGAGGGACTGGGTACGCTGTCCCCGTCGCTCGACTTGGGGCGCCTGGCATGCCAGGAGCGAGGTCGACTTTTGCACCAACTGGGCGATTAAAGGGCCACGGTCGACTCGCCGCGCGGCGGTCCGCATCCACGAGGGGAACCAGGAGCTTGTTCAGCAGTACTACGGGTGGCGCTACGCGCTGGGATTGGCGGCTTCGGATGTGGCGGTTGACGAACACTGGCGGCTGTTCCAGTTGATGGAAGCTGTGCGGACAATTGACCTTGGTCAGGTTGGCGCCCCGGTGCCTTTCGAGCTGAACATTCGCCGCCACCAGATGCGGGAGAGCGCGTGCGAGGATCCCCTGCGCCAGATGGACGCGGGCCCCGTTGATGGCGACGACTGGCTCATCCAGCGCTCGCTGTCCTTGGGCGTTGAGAGCCTGCGCAGCAGCTTCATCGTGATGCCAGAGTTGGAGGACTTCGTGGTGATGGAGCCCGCCACCCGCGTAGCTGTCCTGCAGGAGTGCCGCGAGGCGCGGGGCAAGGCCGCCCTGGCCCAAGGTTTCGACACCCCGTCGGGGAAGCAGACCTCCATTGAGAAGAAGGGTGATCAGGGAGGAGGTGGTCGAGCTTGACCGTCGTCCTCTTCTCATTCTTGCGCCGCCGAGAGGAGGTCTGCCCAGCTTCCTTGAGGGCAATCCGCAGGGGTTCAGGGATCGGCGGTGGGTGCTGCCCTGGAGCGTTTTCAAGCCCCACATGACGCGTCAACGGGACGTCCTGCCCATTTCTCTGGCTGCCGCCACAGAAGTTTTGCTGGGGGGATCCAGCGGCGCGGGGCTTTCGCAGAGTCAGCGGCGTCGGCTTCGGCGCCGTCGAGCACATGAGGGGTGGCTCTTCGAGGGCATCCGAGCCTTGAACGAGCTGGGCGCTTTGGAGGCCACTTCTTCTTCGCCCGCTTCGTTGACCGCTGCGCAGGTCTCAGCTGTCCGTTTTCTCGCTCGGCAGCATGGGTCAGTGGTTCCCCCTCCGCCCGCCCCTGGGGGCGCGGCAGGCGCTCCAGGGCGCGCGGCCCGGCGAGGCGGAGGCAGCGCTAGCCGTCGGTGCTCGCGTGAACTTCGAGCGAGGGAACGTGTCGCTTCCGGCAGGGCGCTCAGGCCTGGCGCCGCTGAATGAGCGCCTACCTGCCGCCCTGCAGTCCGCGCTTGAAGATCGTTCAATCTTTTAAGCTGCTGAGGAGGTTGCCGCTCGTAATCACGATTACGGAGGCAACCTCTTCCTGGATCTTGCTTTTGGGATCAGCCGAGATTCTTTGGAGGTTTCGCTGCTGAAATCTGGGGCGCCGGCGCCTTGGAGGCTAGCGAGGACGTGCTCGAAGAGAGTGGCGTGTTTTTCGTGCGCGAAAAATCTGGCGCACCCCGAATGATCTGGGATGCCCATGTTCCCAACCTTTGGTTTAAGGCGCCTCCTGGGGTCGCCCTGCCCTTAGGGGGGGCTCTTGCCCATTTAGAGTGCGCGCCCCATGTGATCCCCGATTTGCATGGGGGGGGGGTGTTGAAGTTTGCTATTACCAGTTTGAGCCCCCTTTCCAGCGCGGGTGTTGTTGCGGCCTGCCCTTGATTCCCGCGGCCCATCTCCCCGCCCACCTCGTCGCTGCTTTGCCGGGGGCTGCTCGAAATCGCGGGCGGGCTCGCTTCCGCGCCCGCGTGGCGCCGATGTGGCGGGACCTGGGCCGCGGCTCTCGCGCGCGCGGCTAATGCTTGCCAGACGTGAACCCCGAGGCCCCGTTGATTTTAGACAAGGCACCTCTCCCGCCCCTTGGCGACGCCGGGTCGCTGCGCAGATTGTGCATCGATAACTTCGCGTGTCTGAGCGCGGGCCCCGTCGTCGCGGAGGATGCCGTCGCGGGGGTGAAGGAGAAATTGGAGGAGAGGGGGATCGCCTTGTCGCGGGAGACTGCGAGCCCTGGGGGCCGCGACTTCATCGGCTTCGCGCTCGCGGGGTCGAAGGGGGAGTGGCGCCCTAAGGCCAGTCGCGTTTGGATGGTGATGCTCGCGCGCGATCATCAACTGGAAAGCAGCGGCGGGAGCGTTGCGGGGCAGGAGTTGGAGAGGCTTGCGCGTCACGTCACCGCCCTTCTCTCGTTGGCCCCCGAGCTATTGCTCTGGTCAGCATACGATCGACGCATTCATTGTCGACGCTGGGCGTGTACACAACATGTAGTTGACTGCTGCGCGTTTGGCGCGGCCTTGCGCGTGTTCGGACCAGGCCCCATCTGTTTCATTGTGAATGCCCTGTCCTCCTTCCTGCGAAATGTCTGGGACGTGGTGCATGCATGTTCTCCAGTAAATCGCATCTTCAATTCGATGGGCCCACTGGTTCAGGAGGTTTTCTTACTCGGCAAAAACAGATTTGTCCAGAGAAGCTCTGTGAGGTATTATCCCAGGCTTTCGCTATCTCCCTTAGCCTCTTGCGCGGCCATGCCCCGCGGCCCGTTCTCGCCTCCTTTGTTCCCTCTCGTCCCTCTTCATTCGGGGGCCTCGGGGGGAGATTTCCGTCAACAAGATTCTCGTCGGTCTTCGCGTCGAATAATTTCGCCAGGCCAGCGTTATTGTGGGAGGCTGTATGTGGGCAGCGTCGGCTGCGCGTGCTCATTCGGTCTCCGCAAGCAGTAGTTTGGAACAGAGCAGCCAGCATCATGTTTGTGCCCCACGGGAATGATCTGGCCTTCGTATCCGCTTTTTCCGCTCTGCAGGTTTTTTGGTTTACCCAGAACCCTCCCACCCCCAAAAAGCTGGGGCAGCGTCGATTGCGCAAACCCATTCGTTCTCCGCAAGCAGAAGTTTGGCAAAGAGCAGCCAGCATCACGATGCTGATGATGATTGCGATCGTGAGGGGGGAAGGAAGATGATGCTGATGATGCGACTGGTGATGTTGCTGATGACGATGATCCTGCTGATGGTGGTGACCTACGATGATGGATGGTATGGTGAACGTACTCATCATGCTCATGGTGACGCTTGTTTTTGTGAATATGATGTTGTTGGTGATGATGCGGATGGCAGTAAGCATGCTGATGGCACCGATGGTGATGGTGATGCTCATGATATTGGCTCTAATGGTCCTGCTGTTGGTACTGCGTTTGGTTATGATTATGTTGTGATGATGCTGGTTGTGGGGATGCTGATGATGCCGATGTTGTTGGTGGCGATGGCTGCGACGATGACGGTGGCGATGGCGATGATGATGCTATGTTGCTGATGATGGTGATGATGACGATGGTGGCGCTGACGATGCTGCGGTTGACCATGCTGATGATGAGTATGCTGCTGATGGCGATGCTGATGGTGATGATGATGATGCTGGTAATGATAATGATGTTGATGCTGCTGCTGTTGGTGTTTGTGATGAAGCGGATGTTGCTGATGATGGTGGTGGTGATATTGCAAATCTCGATGATATTGATCTCGTTGACGCTGATGCTGATGCTGATGGTGAAGGTGTTGATGAAAGTGGTTCGATGGCAATGGTGCTGGACATGCTGTTGGTGATGATGGTGATGGTGACGATGATGATGCTGAGGATGACCAAGCTGTGCATGGTGGTGATGTTGCTGCTTATGATGCTTACGGGGCTGACGATTGTGACGATGCAGCTGGTGATGATAGTGTTGCGGGCGATGGTGCGGATGATGGATCTGATGATGGTCATGAGTATGATTCCGATGTTTTTGGTGGTGCGGATAACGACGTTGATGATGATGTTGGTGGCGATGATGATGACGCTTGTGATAATGATGTGGTGTTGTGGATGGGGATGATGACGCCGATGATGTTGATGATGCGTATAACCATGGTGACGATGACGGGGATAGTAATAATGGTGATGATGATGATGTAAATGATGGTGATACGGATGATGCTAATTATGATGATGATGTTGATGACGATGGTCATCATGTTGCTTTCCATGCTATCCAGTTTGTGGCGACGCTTGTGAAGTGGAGAGGAGGAGCAGTAGAACAAATGAGGAGGAGGGGGAAGGGACAGGAGGAGGATGAGGAGGAGGCGCTGGAGGATGGGGGCGACAAGGGCGATTCGGCGACTGCGGAGGACCAGGAGCCGAGAACACTCAGGACAAAGAGGAAGGGGATGATGATGATGAGGAGGAGGGAGGAGGAGGAGGAGGAGGAGGGGAAGGAGGAGGAGACGGAGGAGGAGGAGGAGGGTAATAACGAGTGGAACGGGTGAGATGTTTCTTCGATCGCCTCCAGCGCCCCGAAGATCGCCGCCAGGAACCCCTAGACCTCCTCCAGCGCCACGTCGACCACCTTCAGTTTCCCGACGATCGCCGCTAGCGTCACGTAGGTCTGCTGTGGCGCTTCGAAGAACGCCTCCCGTGTGAATGATGGCTGTCGGCGTAAGGGCTTTTATGTCGACCGAAATATGAACATCTTCACGCAGATTGCCTCCAGCGTCCTGAACATATCCCTCACGTAGGTCTTCTGCGGCGCCCCGAAGATCGTCTCTAGCGTCCCGAAAATCGCCTCCAGCTTCGCAGGTATCTTCGCCAACGCCCCGAAGGTCGTCACGCAGGTCGCCTCCAGAGTCCCGAAGATCGCCTCCACTGTATCGTAAGAGGTCCTTCGGACGCCCCCACGACGCTCGTATATCTCCTCTAGCGTCCTGAATGTCACCTCCAGCGTCCCACATATCGCCTTCATCATCCCAATGGTCGCCTCCAGCGCTCCGAAGATCGCCTCCAGCGTCCCCCGTAGGTCACCTCCAGTGTCACGGGGAACTTCGCAGCGTCCCGAAGATCGCCACCAGTGTCTCGCAGATCGCCTCCCGCTTCCCGAAGACTGCCTCTAGCGTCCCGAAGATCGTCTCCCGCATCCTGTCGGTAGCCTTCAGCGGCTCTTCCCAGCAGACGTTGGTGCCAGCTGCTGGTGACGTCGGCGATGTAGCAGTCCAGGATCGCCTGTCTGCCCGATGCTAGCTTCAGCCGCCGTAATGTACGTCGTCGGCTTTTGCTGGGGTTCCTCGCATCACTGTAATGGGGTACACTCCATGCCAGATAGCACAACATCGATTCCACACGATCGTAGCCTGGTTTTCGTCGGTCTTCGCCAACTTCAACCGCTACGCTGCCGAAAGCGCGCGCCAAGTTGCCCTTCAAGTGCCAAGTGGATGCGCAGAGGGATTTGGGCTGCTGGTGCCAAACGGCTCGAGCCCAGATGGAGGAGGAGGAGCAGGAGCAGGAGCATGAGGAGGAGGAGGAGGAGCAGGAGGAGGAGGGAGAGGGGGAGTAAGGAGAGGGAAAGGGTGATGGGTTGTTAATTAGCCGCGGGCTTTGCAATGGGCGTGCTCTTGTGCTCTCAGCGCCTCGCTGTCCGTGGCCAAGAGCCGCAGCAGGAGGCTGTGAAAGGATAGAAAGGAGGAACAATGGCAGATCGTAAGGCTATAGCCTGCATCGAACAAGCAGTGCAGAGCTGCAGCAGCTGCGGATATTCTCAACTAAGTGGAACAGAAACAACGCATTGAATGGCCGGGAGGTGCAAAAGTGGAGGGAGGCGCTGAAAAAGGTAAGCACAACGGAGGCGGAGAGCGCGCAAGTCGGAAAAACGTAGCACGGGGCCAGCACAGCCTACCACATGCGGTCAGTGGGGGCGAACCACTTGGAGAAGCTCGCATAGCTGCCAGCACGGGTAGGGCGCTCGACCCACGATGAGGGAGCGCCAAGTGACGGTACGCGCAGAAGCTCGCGACTGCATCGGAGAAGCAGGGACGTGGCCCCGGCCTTAGCAGACAGAACGCGCGAGCAGTCGCTTGGAGCAGCTGCGGAGCGGGGGAGCCCCACCGCGGGCGCAGCGAGGGCCCCGGGGCAACACGCAGGAGCGGCCGGGGGGCGGCCCACGGCGAGGAGGGGGAAGCCGTGCCGTGCGGCGCCGCGCTCCGGAGTGCCGATGTCCATTCGCACGAGCTGCCGAAAGCGACGCCCGAGCGGGGGAGCGGGCTGACAGGGGGGTGGCCCCGCCAGGCAGGGGCAGGTATGGGAGCAGCCCCTGAGTGGATTCACAGGTTGGGACACAGTGATGTGCGACTGCAGGAGCTGCCTCCTCTGCTGTCCATCATGGTTGGGAGGCCCTTGGGAGTTGTCGGCGCCCCCATGCTCGTAGGCAACGTGAGAGCGCTTCTGTTGAAACATGCGACCTCATGCAGTGCCCCAGCACCTCTGTTTCTGTTTAGCCTTCGGGGCTGCAGCTGTCAGCTGCCTCACCTCCCTCCGTCGTGTTAGGCACGACGCCTGCTTGATGTTGACAGGCCTTCGGGGGGGTTGGGGCGTGGAACCCCAATAAAAAAGCACTTGCCCGTTTCCATCGCTCACGCCGCTCGTCCCTTTCCGCCTCCCCCCTCGTCCTCGTCACCGGCGCCCTGGTCCCCCCACCACTCCTCCTCATCCTCCCCTCAGCTCTGTTCAGAATCTTCGTTTTCGTCGTCGTCGTAATCCTCTTCCTGCTCCTCTCCTGTCCGGTCGTCATCCTCTTCGTGTTCGTCGCTTTCTTCGTTTTCGTCTTCAAAATCTTAGTTTTCGTCGTCGTCGTCGTCATCCTCTTCGTTTTCATCGTCGTCGTCGTCGTCATCCTCTTCCTGCTCCTCGCCTGTCCAGTTGGGAGCATGGTCGGCCTCGCGCTGGCGCTCGGGTACTTCACGAAGAGCACGGGGCACAACCAGTTCCGGGGGCCTCTCGGGGGCTGGGGCTGGCCTCTGCGGGAGAGAGGAGGGAAAGGAGGCGCAGGGAGAAGGAGAGGGGGAAAGAGGGCTCATGTCAAGGAGGGAAGAGAGGCGTGGCCATTATGTGTATACGCGTGTATACACACCGTCTATATATACATACACACATAGATGTGCATGTACATATGTACATGTATATGTATGCATGCTTTTTGAATAGGCGTGACTGCCGATCCATCTGTGTATGCATGTCTACACGCGGCGAGGGGGTTCCCCGATCTAGAGGCAGTACATTGTTTCAACACTGACCCAGGAGTCCAGATCCGGTTCTGGGGGGGTCGTCTGGCGGATATTCTTGGGCCTTCAGCACATTGTGTGAGGTCCTGGTGTTGACCATGATGCACGTCATGCTGTCCCTATTCTGCAGCCGTGCTCCGGCGCCCCTCAAAGGTGTCCCACGAGAGCAGTCAAGCAGTCTCAACGGAGCCCTAGATGGCCGGCCCGAAGAGGCTGCAAGAGGGTTGACGACCGCCTACGTCGGCCCACAGCACTTCTCCATGCAATGCGGCTCCGTCGGGGCCTCGGAGGCGTCACGGGGCCAAAAATGAGCCCTTGGAGTGACCCGAGAGGGGCGAGGTTTGCCCAGGAAGGAGTCTTTTGGAGGACTGAAGAAGGCATCTACAGGAGGAAAATTCAGAATAGTTGAAACATAATCTGGGAACGATTTTTTGCGTATTGTTTGAACATGTTTGGGCATTTCAGGATATTTATTATTTTTTCTTCTGAATCCCCCTGTAAGGGGACATGCCCGAGGCTGCTGAAGCAGGAACCCTTTTCGTTGGGGAGGGGCTCAGAGTTCCTTAATTGCTTCGCAGTTGTTCTTAGGTGTTTCCTTTTGGTGTGCGATGGAAGATCGACTTTTAATCGATTGGCAAAAGGCGCCTCGTTCCGTGATTAGGGTTCCTTTTCACAGCTTTTCGGTTACAGACGGCCGAAAAGGGTCTCGAGATTGCGCCACAACAGCCCACAGGCGCTCCGAGATTGTACCAGGACGGCCCCAGAACGGTCTTCCGAAAGCCCGTGAGGTTCCAAGAGGTTCCGAAAGCCCGTGAGGTTCCAAGGTGCCTGCTATCACTGCAGCCTCGCCGCCCTCATAGTCAGCCTCATCCAAGTTATTCCTTCTCCCTCTCCTTCCCCCTCGTTCCTCATGCCTGCTCCTCACCTTACCCCCTTTCCCTGCCTTTTGACCCACTGCCCCTTCCCCTTCTGTATCCTTGGGTGGTGGGGAGCGCGGGTCCGAACATATCTAAGATGAAGAGGTCCAAAGAGGTCCTCTGGGGGACCTCCAGACCACACACGATGGCCCTGACATTGACCACGACGAACCCGAGATGGCTCGAGTCGCCTTGGGAGGGGTGGGGAGAAGGGGAGGGTGAGGGAAGAAAGGGATGCTCTCGGAAGTTTCTTACTATGTTGTCTCCGATCACCGCATTGCCCTTTCGGTTGAAGATCCGTTGCTGTACAATACTTGACCGAGCAGACGATCTATGGAGTTCCTCTTCTCCGTCCCTCACTTTAAGGGTAGGTCTTTGGGATATGTTATAGTATCGGGAGCATAGCTCGCGCGCGCCGTTGCCTTTGGCCCAAGGCACGCGCGCCCTATTTGCCCGGACACCGCGAGTGTTCGCTATGTGCTGGAAAGATCATTACATCGATCTTATCCTATCTTATCCGCCCACCCCTCATACTGTACTATCACAGCAGAGCGATGAACGCTATTTGCCATCCGATGTCTATCATGGAATCGGATGCTATTTGAGTTACCAGACTCACTTTCGACTTGGTAGCGGAGCTTACCGCACTCTCGTGTGGTCAGCTCTTGCTCGTATTAGCCTCATATTATTCGGCACGATCTTCATGACCACCTACCACCCTGCGCCACCACTCCCAGTACGTTTACGAGGATCTATTCAAGAGCAAGAAGCAACACGAGACGTACGACGTCTAGACGACCAGATTGGTACCATATACGCTTCATCATTGCGTTACCACCAACCGCTCGGCAACGAGCTAACAGCGCAATACTTGAAGCAGAGGCGGGGAGACCCGCCAGATAGAGCGCCTCGAAGACTCGACAAGGCGCTACCCCAGCGCGGCAACGCGCATAATAACCGTCCTTCTCTACACATTCTCGGGCTAGTCGTTTTCGCTATTATATGGTTCGCGCTGGGGGCAGCAATCGGACACATGCGTCGTGGAGAAAACAGCACCGATGGGCAAACACATGGCCCATATTGGGACCCTCAAGGTAATGTACCTTTTCGCGAGTACATTTACGAGGTCAACGCATGGCTCAACGTTACAAGCGGACGTATGACGCCACAGGCCCAAGCGGCCGCAATACAACGCGGCCTAGGTGGCCTAGCGAGGACACTCGCCATGAGGGTACCGCCTGACATTATAAACTATGGTGCTGACATCGATGGGGTCCACACCGACCCAGTGACCTACATCATGTTCCTCCTAAGCATGAAGTTCGAACGCCTGGAAGATGAGCGACAGCTCACTTCCGGCACACAACTCATCGACTTCCACGTGCCTCACGGGGAACGAATCGATGTCACCCTTACCCGATTCGAAATGGCCCGACTTGAGGCACAGTCGGTGGGATTCGACCTTCCCAACTTCCAACTGCTAACCACTATCCTATTCCGCGCCTTAGGCGTCGGCAACCAGCGAGCCATGCAACTCTTACAGCCACTCAATCACCAAATGCCCCGAACACAACAACAGTATGATGAGTTGCTGGAGAGGATGCGTTCGATAGGCCACCTATCTGAACGGTCTCCTGGTAACATAGGATCTGTGTTTGGAAGGGGAAGGGGATCTGGTAGTGGAAATTTCTACACTACCTTGACTACTGAAGCCCAGCCTGGAAACGGGCCCTCAAGCATATGGGCCGATGACCCAGGAGAACTGCTTTATTAGCAGGGGATCGATCACAACCAAGCTGGGCAACCAGCCCTCCTTCTAGAGAACCACAACCACACCGTTCTTTATGGGGGGAATCAAACCCCCTAACCGACGGTGTATCCACCTACTTGGGAGACGAGGATTTCGACTCCGGCCCCGATACAGACACTATATCATCAGATGGTGTTGAAGCTTTAGATTGGTCAGATATCATGAATATGGATAACGACACTCAGCGTGCTGAACATTTGTTCTGGTTACTACAACAGGCTAAGCGAAGGTGGAGGAGGTTCACGCGAAAACCAGTGCGTCGTGTTAGAAGGAGGATACGGAGAAGTTTTAAGGGAAAAGGTAAAGGTAAGCGAGGTCGTCGGAGGTTGAACGGACGAGGCATCGCGGCATTTCTCCAGAGGCTCTCAGATGAACAACATGATGAGATATTCTTTGGAGGAAAGGGCTGTGGCAAAGGCCGTAGAGAGACCTCAGGAAAAGGCCAAGGTAGGCGGGGAAACCCGCGAGGTAGAGACGGCCAGGTTCTTAAATGCCATGAATGTGGTGTTTTCGATCACCTTGTGCGAGATTGTCCAGTGAAGGGAAATGGAAAGGGCAGGTCGACCGAAGTCCATTTTGGCTCAAGTGAACCATTCATAGAGTATCTGAGCCTCCAGGACTTTGAGGCTATGGAACAGATATTTTTTCACTTGGGTTGTTGGCATGGACAACGTCGACGAGCTCGAGGCGTATGGTCATGGATTGTACGCGTACTACTTCGAGTACGTTCGCAGGTTCGTTGAGGGCAACAACGAGCTCACTCCCGTGGAACACGGGACGCTGGGAAACTACCCTTTATCTTTCTTCGACTGGATGTTCGGGAACCCAGGCGACATCATGGCCTACGAGAGCAGCGACGAGGACACCACTATAGAGGCTTGCCTTCCGAGGTTCAACGACACCTCGAACCTCCGCCCGAAATCCCGCCTGGAAACAGGCCTTCTTTGATGGGGGAATATCCCCAGACCACTGAAGACTTAATCGAAATGGAGTCTCAGGCATTTGTTCAGGCCTTCATTGCAGGCGAACCAGATACTCCGTTTATACCTCCTGGTTCGCTTGCTCCAGGCGAATATGGACCACGCACCCTTTTGCAGACCCTCATGAGGATGCATGAGATACTTATTACTGGTTATCCTGAGAGCCAAGAACATATCGAAGCTGACATTATGATAATGCAGGATACTGACGCTTGTGGTAGCTCAGAGCTGTTGTTGGCAGCTCTGACTCTCATTGACAGCGTGCATCCTCAGGACGGGCAGAGACACTTGATATACTCCCGTGGTAGATGGCGTAATGCTCTAGAAATGGCTATTGCTATGCGCGGCCATGATCTTCCTCCGCCAGGATGGGGTCTCCAGGCGGTGGGAATGTGGCCAAACCACACGGCCATGCGCAACATTGCCGGGCAGCCTGTGCTCGGCAACGAGCCCGAGCCGACAACGGCGCCTCCTACCCCGGGACAGCCGAGCGACGCACAGACGCCGGCTATGCAGGGAAACCTGCCTGTACCAGATACGCCAATGGCCATCATCATCGGTAGTTCGACATCAGAAGAAGTAGAAGGCGATGGTTGCGGGCTAGATGAGGATGACGTCGCCATCCTCATGATGGACGTGAATGGTGAGGAAGAGGTTGACTTCGACCCTGACGAGTCTGAATCATCATCACCATCGGCACAAGCGCCATTTGCGCCGAGCTCCATCCAGCAGGGAGACCTGCCTCCATCGGACGATCCATCTGGGATCGCACAGGGGCCTCCTCAGGCACCTCCACCGGGTGCCGCTCATCCTGCTTCGGCAGCTTCTTCTGATGAGAATACCAGAAGGTCTCGTTCCCATACGCGCGTCAGAGAAGAGCCACATCCACAGGCTCGACTTCCTCGTGAGTGGAGGCAGGCTGGCCCAAAAGACCGCGCTCTCAGAAGAGGGGGCCAGCTATTTCCGCACAACGACCCAAGACGCCGAAAAGGGGA